AATTGTGGAATAATTTCCTTTCAGAAAATGTTTACATTTCAAAAAATGTGCTGCACTTCTAGCAATTTCCATTGCACCATGGATCTCCTACTATTATTTTGTGTAAATATATCTATATAGCAACAGGACTATTTTAAAAATTTCTAGAATGATGCTTTGGGCCAGAGTTGGAACCACATTCTAGCAAGATTATAGGTCATCATGACATATATATATTGTAGAATAATTTCATTAAGTGTATTTAATTTTTTAATGTAATTTATTTTGCTATCTATTATGTATTAATGGTTTCTTGTTGGAATTCAGTAAAAGATAAGTATGGTAGATGGATGAAATAAAGGAAGCTAAGTGCTATGATCTTAATGTCTGTGTCACCTCCAAATTCATATATTGAACCCTAATGCCCGATGTGATGGCAGTAGGAGGTGAGCTCTTTGAGAGGAGCTTAAGTCGTGAGAGTGGAGCCCTCATGAATGGGATTAGTGCCTTATAAAAGAGGCTCCCGAGAGATCCTGAGTGCCTTCTGGCAAGTGAGGACACAAGAAGTCTGCCCCCGAAACAGAGCCATCAGCCAACCACCTTGGCACCCTGATCTGAGACTTCCAGCCTCCAGAATAGTGAGAAATAAATTTCTGTTGTTTGTCCAGTTTATGATATTTTTTTATAGCAGCTCCAATGGATTAACCTAACATTTTCTATGAATCTACTGTGAGCCAGTTATAGGCATTAAATTTAATCTTCACTTATACTTATTCTCATTTCATGAACGTATATGTGAGGAAACAGATAAGCAATGAGTTAATTATTTTAGCCAATGTCATCTATTGTAATAGCTAATTCACAATTTTAATCCATATTTGCCCAATTCCAGTATTTGTACTTTTCTGACCAAATAATGCTTTCTATTACGGATTACATTCACTGGTTATTCTTCAGTGTTAGAATGATATGCTAAAGTTAAGAACTGTAACTTTCATCTCTGTATCCCATGCAAAAAGGCATGGTTTAGAAAACATTAGGTACTGAATGAATTAGAAAATGCATGTGTTAAATTCACAAGAAGAGCCCCACTTGACTGGATAGCTCACTATCTATTCTGGCTTATAAGCCTTACTAGCACTTGAGGGCAAAAATGACTTATGGGAAAATCTACTGATTTTCAGGTAAAAGGAATGAACTCTTAGACCTAATTTTGCAAATTTAAAGTCAAGGAAGGAAGCAAATAACACAAACTGCTAAAGGATTTTCCAAATAAATTCAACATGTTAGTCATCTAGAAGGCATATAAAATTGATAAATCTCCAGTAACTTTAAGAGATTAAAAGCATATATTTACAGAGCGTACCTGTGCATGAAATTGCATATGGTGGACTCTATGGGAAATAAATGTATTATTTTTTGAATACCAAATGCCTTGTGCACTACTTACCTGCCTGTTTTTTCAATGAAAACTCAAAATCAGCTTTAATAAATATTTGTTTTAATAAAGTAAAACATAAAAATGTGTTTGAGTGTGCAATAGCCATCTATCTGTCTATCTATCCAACTATTTATCTAATTCAATGATCTTTATGTGTTAAAATAAAAATATTTTCATGTACAAATAGTGAAAACTATGGACTTGGGTGACAATGATGCGTCACTGTGGGTTCATCAGTTGTAAAAAATATATGCTGCATACAGAGAGACAACCTATACTAGACGTAAGAACATGATCATAAAGGGATCCCTGAAACCCAAGATCAGACAGGCAGATCTAGAGTCCCCATAGCAGCATATTCCTCAGGAAACAGACTCTTGAGCCCATGATCCAGGTCCACCTTGTATTATTTCTGCACCTCCTCAGCCTGTTTCTTATAGTTCTCCTTCTGATTCTTCAGGATGCCTTGCCGGGATCTCCACCATGTGATCCCTCAGGGGCATATCTTGCAACTCCTGACTTGACCGTGAATCCTGGTGGAACATCTGATAGGTGTCCTTGGAGGTTGTTCAGTCTCTCCATGGAATCTAATCCTCATGGAAAAATAGTTTTCTGGGGGAGACTTCACTTCTTGCACATTTTCCTGAAACTTCTTTTGGCCTTTGATTTAGATTCTTTAGGGGACATCCGATTTCTTGGAATATTGGACTAGTTCAGAGTGGTGTTCCCTGAACTGAGCCATTTTCTCCTCGCACTCCTGTTTCTCCTGGAAATCTTGAATATGTTTCAGCTTCATGTTCTCTGGGAACTCCTTGTCTTTCGCCTGGTACACAGTTTGGGGTGTTTTGAGGAGTACTAGGGATACATCTCCTTTAAAAAGTGGGGGTAAGTTGTTAGGGGCTTCTTGGGTAAATCAGAATGTTTCTTCTGGGTGTGTGCGGGGGGGGTGTTTTGCTTTTGTGAGGATTTTTAACGTGTTACTTAACTACCAGGACTAATTCTTTTTTTTTTTTTTTTTTTTTTTTTTTTTCGCGGGCCTCTCACAGTTCTGGCCTCTCCCGTTGCGGAGCACAGGCTCCGGACGCGCAGGCTCAGCGGCCATGGCTCACGGGCCCAGCCGCTCCGCGGCATGTGGGATCTTCCCGGACCGGGGCACGAACCCGTGTCCCCTGCATCGGCAGGCGGACTCTCAACCACTGTGCCACCAGGGAAGCCCCCAGGGCTAATTCTTTTAAGGTGCAACAGTTTCTTAAGTTATAAAATGTTTCTAACCATTGGAGTTTACACATTTCTCCAGAAATATCTTAAAAATCTACTTTTTCCCAGTCCATCAGTGACTGAGTTGTTTTGAATGCATGGCTGTCATTGAACAGGGGATTATTCTCCATTTCTTCCAGGAACTTCACAATGTCGTCTTTGGACCAATGGTGTTGGCCATTGGGCAACACCACTTCTAGGATTTGGGGCTGCTTACAAGGTCCCAGTTCTGCAAGCACCACCACAAGAGCTCCAACTTCCTCACACTCAAGACTCAGCTGGTGAATTATTTCTTGAGGTTCTGTAGTGTGAGTGATGCCATGTTTCTGCAGAGAAGGGGAAGGAAAGGAACTTTCCTTCTACGCCATGAATGAGATAATCACACCTCGTCTGTTATAAGTCAATTCTATAATTTAATTGACCCTTAAAAATAAAATGAAAACCTTCCCAAATTCTAATTTGAAATTTATGTTTTGTTTTCAGATGCATCATCTGTACTCTTTAAAATTCCCCTTGCCTCTCCAGCCTTCATTCCACCCAATTTTACAGGGCTTACCACAAATGGAACTTAACAAAAAAATGAGTCATTCAATCAAGAGGCTTAGAATAAGAGATATAATCAAAGAAAATGGAGGAAAAAGATCAAAATGAAAAGAGAAATGGCTAAAAGGAAAGGACTTTCACTCCATAGTGCACTGAATACTTCCTTTGAATTGTAGGACTGAAGATACAGTGAAGGATCTGGAGATTAAAATGAGACAAACCAAGAAGCTCCTTCTTGTACTCTGTAAAAAGAAAACAAAATACATCCAGCTCTTGAGTTTTTGTGAATTGGATATTATAGATTGAACCTGAACAAATTATCGTTTGATATATTCTTGTGGAGATGTGCCTGGGAATGAATGCTTTCTAGGGAACCATACTGTTTCTGCTTTCAAATGACCAGGGTATAATGAACATTATAGAACAATTACAATATTTTTTAGGTATCACATTATATTACAGAATTCTGTAATCTGAATTATTCTTCAAATTTAAATTGGTTTTGGCCTTCCCACTGCTAAGGAAATTATACCACCTTATGCTACGTAGTATTTTATATGTCAGTTTAAATTCTGACAGTCACCATCATGTGAAGTCCCGTTTTCTGTTTCCATATCACTTTATGTAGGGTCTTCATCTTCCAGTAGATTGTACTGATCGTCTTAGGGAAATCTCAAAATCAACACTATAAAACAAAATTATGCAGTAGTTATTTTAAACCTCAAAATAATGGAATTTTCTTAGGCTGTAAAGCTGCAAATCAATTACCTCTCTTTTGTTGACATTATCAGTTAGCATTTTATGTCTATTATGTTAGCTACATTTTGGAAAACTTTATCAATGCTGGAATAATATTTGTTTATATTAATTCTTTCATTCAGGTATTTGTTCATTGATTCATCCTATACTTCTATGTATTATGTTATAAGTCTGCATTGGATAGTAGGAATATAGTAGTAAATAATATACTGTCCCTACTGTCTCAGAATTGTCTGTCAAGTAGTAAAAGTGCTAACTTGAGGAAGGTTTGTTGAATATTATGATGAGATGGTATATGCTCAGAGAGTGTGTAATGAGAGGAACTACACTGGTCTGTGTAGTCACGAAAAACTTGCTGGGAAAAATGTTGAGCTGAGATGTGCTTAATGACTAGGATTTAGAGAAATGATAAAGTCTGTCAAACACTTGGTTCTTACCAACTAGGTCAGCTTTGAAGAGAAAACTAAGCACCATTCCTTTTGTTTACTAACCTGATATATATATTACCTCATGCTTTCACCCCAATCTGGTTCAGATACGCAAGTAAAGCACACTGCTTACAATGTAGATGAATCTTGAAAGCATTAAGTGACAGTAAACAGATATAAAAAGCCACACATTGTGTGATCCAATTTATTTGAAACCATATAATAGAAAAATCCATGAAGAATAAAACTGGATTAGGGGGTGACTTGGGAGGGGGAGGGGGAATGGGGAGTAAATGTTAATGGTCATTGGTTTATTTTGGGGGTGATGGATATGTCCTAGAATTAGATAGTTATGGTTTCACTTTTTGAATATTACTAAAAGCCACTGAATTATATAGTTTAAATGGGGTGACCTTTACGGTATGTAACTTTTATTTTAATAAAACTATTATTTATGACAGAAGAAAAGCAACTGATTGTGAAATAGTTCATAATAAATTTTTATTACAAGAAAATTTAATTAACAAATTTATACATTCAACATGGTTATGCCATTTTATAAACATATAGTCGTGTGTTCCATTAAATTACAATGTGCTCAGAGATAGTCAGATATCATCCTGTGGCCTCACGTGAGGTTTAGGAAAGCAATTTGTTCAGGCAAGAATTTCATCAATTAAATGGTCATGGAACTTGATTATTCATGGAGACCTAAGGCAAAGGAAAGGCGTCAGAGGGGAGAAGAAGGAGAAAGGAAGGAAACTATATATGAGGGAACCTCTGCAAACATCATAGAAGCTCACAGTTCCATTGCCATAATCCAGAAACACTCCAATCCTACCCAGAGGCCTTTGCACATACTGAATTAAGGGTGGGGAGTTCGTGGACAGAATATAATGATTGTTCACTTTCATAGAAGATAGCAAAAATGCTTCTTCAGAATCAATAATGATATCAGTATCACTCGTGAAGATATTTTTACAGACTCCCAGAATCCAGTTCGAGGAGTGTGCCACATCCACCTCCCAGTAATGCCTCCCAGAGGTGAAGGCCACAGCTCCCCAGGCCACAAATCTCTCCACAATCTGGGGCTGTCTAGACACGTCGTGATGGTCACCTCCAAACATCACACTTGTACCATCCTCAGAAAGGCTCACATTGTGAATGGTCATTTTCTGACTCAGAACATTATCCACTGCAGAAAGAGCAAAAATCAGGTCAGCAAATGAGATTTCCACGGCCTGAGAGGCAGAGGCTCTCTACCCAATGAGTCTTTTCATTTCCCCCCCTCCAAGGAAATACGAAACAAAGACAGCAAAGGGAGTTCAGACTAGCTCTTCTATGAAGAGTAAGAGTCATTACTATCTCACCAGCACACAGAAAGACTTCAAATCATACAGAAAAAGAAAAAAAAAGGGAGATATGAACTCTGTGAAGTCTGATTTAATGTCAATGTCTTGATAGTTTATTTCAGGACTCACCAAAAACATTATCCTTTTTCTTTCATTTAGAAAACTTTTCTTGTGTCCTTTGTCTTTAACATGATCTAGCATGTAGATAGCACTTGCTATCATGTGGGTATTTATTGGGCTATGGTCTCTACTTACTACATTTTCAAAGGTCAAAATTTTGATAGAAATCCATCAATGAATAGTTTGGAAGCTTCTAAAAGGATGTTCTGGAAGCTTCTAAAAGGATGTTCTGGCTAACCATGTTCAAATATCCCTTGCCTTTCAGTTGTTTTGAAATTGATCTAATAGCATTACAATTATCCTGCCTAAGCTAATTTTAGTCTTTTCTGTCAATTCTTGCTGATTTTAGAAATAATAAATATTTTTGTACAATGCATAATAAATGAGCTGGTAATACAGAACAAATTAAAAACCAGCAATGCCATATTTAACTTTTTAAGAGTGAAATAGACTGAATAAACACAATATTGATGGTTACTCACAAAAGTAAATATTCTATCTCTTTATAACCACATGAGCAAGCTGGTTGCTCTCCTCTTGCTCTGCCTATGTCATATGTAACTGAATATATATCTCTAGCTTTGCGTTTTCGGTAAACTATAGGTTGCAAAGTTCAGCCTTGATCTTTGTAATACGACTATACAGGCAGGAAAAATGTAACAACTTTGGGAAGTTATGTACTACCTTCATGTCAGAAAAAATAAAATAACAATAAAAGAAGGTTCCTCCCCAAGAAGTTCTAATGAAATGTAGTCCTGTTCACTGAAGGTTGACTCTTACCTCTGAAGTTGTTCAGCATGTCTAGGATTCCAGTGACAGGCCAGGAAGTGAGCTCTGGGTTCACTGGCTGAGGCTTTTGCATCTGTATGAAATCAGTCCTGTAACAAATGACGTCAGTTACATTTCAAGGTCAAAGGCTAATCACAGGACCATTACAAAAAAGCAGTTTTTAATCCAGGATATTTTGTCAGAATTCTCCTATTTTTGGTTAATTGGATATACATTATATTCTACACACTTGGGAATATAAAAAGTTACCATACTTTTTTCTAAATATAAATTACATCAAATTTCAACTCCCCCATTCTTCTCAGACTTTACTCCAGTTTTCAACTTATTGAACTTCATTCACTTCCTCTATTCCAACTCAGGTGATGCAAAGATCCTGGGCATTTTACAGAGAGCAAAAAATTCAGGCAAAGCCTTTGGGACTGCAGTCAGCAAGTAGTCATCAAGGATACGTTCAGTGTCTAAAAGGAAGAGTTCACTGAGCCCGACGTGTTTGCTCTTATCAGCCCAGCAAGGGAATCCAATTCTAGCCTGGCTGCCTTGGTCCTGAAGGTCTAACTTTCCAGTGGGCACCAGGAAGCCATTAGCTCTGAGGTCCTACCTACAAGGGGGTTTGCTGTAATGGAACAGGCTGATTCAGTGCTACTCCTAGGAACAAAATCACAGCCCCTCTTCCTATTAGGGAATTTGCCCCTTTCCTGCCTTTTTCACCTTCCAACTCACTAGTGTAGGTGCTTCCTCTGTGATATCTTAGAAAAATCCCTTCCCTAATTTTTACTGTGGTGAGTCTGGAGAGGATGGGGTGAGTGGGTGGAACAAAGCCCAGAATGTCAGAAAGTTTTCAGGTATATTTGAATTCAGCCAAATGAAAAAGAAACTTCTCAGACCAAGGATCAGAAGGCCTCTAGAATCCTTTTGAAATAAAACAGAAAATAGCCAAAAAGACGATGTTAATAGATCAAAAGATATACTGTTCATCATCCATGTGCGAGGGCTCTGCATGTATGGATTCAACCATGGGTTGAATCTGTAATTTCTGTTTTATTTTATTTATTTAGTTAGTTAGTTAGTTTACACTAGGTCCTTGTTTGTTATCTATTTTTTTGTTAAATTTATTTTACTTATAGAATAATACATAGATAAATTCTTTTCAAAATGTTTGAACATTATAGGTAAAGCTAAAGTCTCCCTTGACCACCATTTTTTTTTTTTTTTTTTGCGGTACGCGGGCCTCGCACTGTTGTGGCTTCTCCCGTCGCGGAGCACAGGCTCCGGACGCGCAGGCTCGGTGGCCATGGCTCATGGGCCCAGCCGCTCCGCGGCATGTGGGATCTTCCCGGACCGGGGCACGAACCCGTGTCCCCTGAATCGGCAGGCGGACTGTAAACCACTGCGCCACCAGGGAAGCCCTGACCACCATTTTTAATCCTGATCTTCTTCTCTATGGCTTGAGATAACCACTGTGTGTTATTTATTTTAAATATAGCAGTGTGTACATGTCAATCCCAAATTCTAAATCCATCCCTCCCCTACATTCTTCCTCCCTGGTTCTAAATGGAAAATATTCAGAAAAAAAAAAATCCCTGGAAGTTCCAAAAAGTGGAACTTGAAAATGCCACATACATGGGAACTATTTACATAGCATTTAATTTACATTTTATTAGGTGTTATAAGGAGTCTAGTAATGACTAAAGTGTATGGGAGCATGCTTTTAAGTTATCTGCAAATACTATGGCATTTTCTATAAGGGATAGTGCATCCCGGGATTTAGATTTTGGGGATGGCCTGAAAACAATTCCCCGTGGCACCAAGGAACTATCCAACCACTTCATCAAAAAGACAACAACTTTTCCAGAAATCAAAAGTCATTAGCGTACACTCACATTTCCAATACATTTCCCGAGGCCTGCAATGAAAAAAAAAATCATGTTAATCATGAGAGTTCTGTCCTTTTGCATCTTCTTTACTATTCTTGTTTGTTCAATAAGGTATTGTTTTTCTCATTCTCCTCTAAGGAACAATCAGAGGCTATCTTAATAACAGAACTTAAACTGAAACATGATGAGCTTCCTCAGGGCACATTAAGGAAGGAAGGAAGGAGGCCAGGAAGAGTCTGTGTAATGATGCAACAACATCAGATTTCCAATGTCAGTCATTTCTCAGTCCTATTCCCAAGGAGAGACCTCACCATTTATGATGACAATTAAAGCAAAACAAGGAACCATATAAAATGAATTATAGAGTGCATTGAAATTGACTACCAGTTCTAAAAATTTTACCTAGACAATGGGCAAAACCTCAATGTCTTCAGTAAGTGTGGGATAATAGAGAGTGACAACGTATTGAGAATTACTCCAAGAAAATTAACTTTCCCCTGGTCACAGAATTTTGCTGATTTTGGATAATCTGTCTGGATAGTACTCCTGATCACACTGAAAAAATTTTGTCCTATGTTAGCTAGTGAAAGGATTAAAAAAAAACCTCCCAAAGATTACCAGGCTATGAGAAATAAGGGATTGGACAAGTAAGATAATGGGAGTCAAGGAGCATCATCCCTTAGCTGAGATAAGAGTATATGCAGGTAACATTTCAATGTCATGGCAACGGTGCCCAGAATAGTACTTCTGTCTCTGAGGATGGAACCTCCCTTCTCACCTGGAGCAGCTCCAAGTCAGGCTTGTGGCACATCTCAGTCATCTCTCTGTACATTTCTTTCAGACTTTCTTTCTGTTGAGTCATTCTGAATTCACTCTCCCTGAGTTGCTGGAGAGTCTCCTTCACTTCTTCCTCCAGCGCCTCCAGATGGAGTTGCTCCTGCTCCTGGAGAAACAGGTGGATCATCCGATACTGAACTTTGATCATCACCTTCCTTACAGCCGCATAGTTCTGCAGAGATAGTGGATTCAAAGAATCACTCATCCTCATTCTCAACAGAAAACGTCAAACATTATTTCCTTACTGTCATCGGGAAAGCTCTTGACAAACTTTCTACCCCACACCTCAAAGGGTCCTTCCTGTCCACCCTTTCTCTAAGTTTCGCACCTCTTTTCCTGTTTAAATCAAGCCATCTGAGGGGGTTCCAGTTTTTCTCCCTAGGAGGATTCTTCAGGGTTCTTACTCCATCAATTATTTCCTCTCTTACCCAAATCTTGTTTTTTCTTGTTCCTTTCCCTGATTTTTCTAAATATTCTTTTATTAGGTAAAGCCCATACTGTACAGCTTTAAAAATATGCACTAATTCTCCTCTAGGTACTGCTGTATTCCTCTCCTCACCTTCACAGACAAACTTAGCACAACGTTGTCTTATACTCCATGTCTGAGAAGGTTTCTTCAAATCTTCAAAATGTGGCCTAGGAATATGTCTCATGCCTTGGTTTTCCCGTATACTAGCACTCTTTGAACTAGTTTGTATTGGTCTGTTATAATTGTGATTACTGATGATAGGTCATTTGAAACCACTACTCTTTCCAAGGAAAAGACCACTATCCTTTACCTGGTAATTTGAATTTTGCTAAAAGTCTAAGCCAGGATTATATCTGTCTCCATGCAAACAAATAGAATATCTTAATTCTTACCTCTAACAACTGAGTTTTGTTAGCTTCTTGATTCAGACTGTTTTGCATTTCTTGTGTCATTTTCCTTAAAGAGTCCATTCTCTTCAGAAGTTTCTCCTGCAAATAACCATGAGCTTTAGTGACACAGATAATACCATAAATTCCATCCCCTTATGTATGAGCAAAGGCAGTCATTTAGAGCAGGGGTCCCCAACCCACTGGGCCGAAGACCACTACCAGTCCACAGCCTGTTAGGAACGGGGCCGCACAGCAGGAGGTGAGAGGGGGGCGAGCAAGTGAAACTTCATCTGCCACTCCTCATGGCTCCCCATGGCTCCCCATGGCTCGCATTACCACCGGAACCATCCCCCCAACCTCTCCCTGCCCCCATTCATGGAAAAATTGTCTTCCACGAAACTGGTCGCTGGTGCCAAAAAGGATGGGGACCGCTGGTTTAGAAAATAGAAATCTTGAGTTTGAATGATGTGGTCAGATTTTTCCACATTAATCTAATTTGATTCTAATATGTTGAATATCAAAGTGACAGAAACATATAATGAAGAATTGGGGTGGGGGGACTTCCCTTTGGCGCAGTAGTTAAGAATCTGCCTGCCAATGTAGGGGACACAGGTTTGAGCTCTGGTCCTGGAAGACCCCAAATGCTGCAGAGCAACTAAGTCTGTGTGCTCTAGTGAGCCTGTGCTCTAGACCCCATGAGCCACAACTAGTGAGCTCGCGTGCCACAAGTACTGAAGCCTGAGTGCCTAGAGCCCGTGCTCCGCAACAAGAAAAGCTACTGCAATGAGAAGCCTGTGCACCACAGCAAAGAGTAGCTCCCGCTCGCTACAACTAGAGAAAGCCTACACGCAGCAACAAAGACCCAATGCAGCCAAAAATAAATTAATTAATTAAAAATTAAAAAAAGAAAGAAAGAATTGGGGAAACTTTATAGATAATGGAATCTCTCATTTCCATGAGAGAAATGAAATTTCTCATTTCCTAAGAAATTGAGACTCAGATTTTTATATAACTTGACTAAGAATGCGTCAAGCTCACGTCAGAAGCCAGTGTGCCTTGTGCTACCATATGCCCCAGGATACAGCAGTTCCACATGTTTGGACAATTGGGCAACAACATTAAAATGATACACTTACATGACCTACACTGAAAACTCTCCACCTCAACCATCTCCATCCCCATCAACTTCATTATTATCTTCATCTTTCTCTCTGATTTAGGAGCCTGTAGGTTCCTAATTGCCTTAGAAGCATCACCTACCCGGTATTCCTCAGCAGCCCATTGTATTGGACTGTGGCTGTGAGCTGCATGCTCTGGGGACTCAGAGCAGGGGCCACAGAGCAGGGTCTTGTCAACCTCACAGAAGAGTCCTTTGGCTTCTTTGTGTGTCAAGCAGATCTGTCCCTCCAAGCTGTTGGTTTGTTTAGCTGCGTCCTGTCTGGCGAGGGAAGCCAGCCTCTTGAGTACAATATTGGTTTTGAAATCTGGCTTCTCTGATAGTCCCCTGCACTCAGGGCAGCTCTTTGGAGTCTGGTCTTCCTCCCAGCAGAGGTACAGGCAGGGACGGCAAAAGCTGTGCCCACAGTCTATGGTGACGGGGTCTATGAAGTAGTTCATACAGATGGAGCAGGTTAGTTCATTCTGGAAGGCTTGCAATGTGTCTGAATCCATGTTTCTGAAAATTCAAGACAGAAATAGAGAGGATAAGAGAGAAAGTCTTTCTTCTGCCCTGATAAGGGAAAGTAAAGCCTTTGGACAAAGTCCTGTCTGTTTGAACTCTATCTAATTTACCTATATGCTTACCCTCAGTACAAACCTAGAAATGGTGAATACAGAGAGGTTCATGCTGATACAAATGATAAAATTAGATAAGAGAGTCCCTAGCAACTTTTTTGTTTAAAATAAACCGTGTTCTCGGTCATACCTAAATTACATGGATGTGCTTAAAGCTTAGACCAGCGGGGAAATGGTAACTCCAGAGTTACTTTTATTAGCTGATTGGTACAGAAGCACACATATAATCTCAATCTGTCTGTCTCTCTCTCTCTCCATGACTCCATGACTGCAACACGTATTTGCACACACTTTGTCTCTATGCTAATGTTCTCTATGTCTCCTGTCTCTGAACTGACAGATGTGCTTTTCTAAAGACAAATAAAATTGTTTTGAATAATTTAAACTTAATATAATCAATGCTGGCTTTACCTTTGGCATTTTTTTTATATTTAATAATGGTTCTTTTATTGCTTCTAAGATTATTGAGAAGTCAAATGAAATTATGCTGAATTTATGGTTCAAAACTATTTTCCAAACACTTAACCATTATAATTTAGGATAAGTAACACTTGAAGAAAGCAAACCTTTTATAATATGACTTTCAGTATACAGCCTTACTTTAATTCACTCTGATTCCATTACATTTTTGTTATTTTTGCATTGGTCCTGAATATGTAATAATAACTGTGTTTCTATGTATAGAACAGCCTACACAAATCCATTTCACCCTTCATAAAATGGTCACATTAGTGTTTGAGCTTGCAAAACTAATAATTTTCAAACTTTTGAACTTAGAATGAAATGTAAGTTTAATACGTATAGAAAGTCTGACTATGTACAAGAGAAGGTAAAGTTTTCAATTCTCATATTATCAGAAACATCATAAAGAAAGCTAGATTTATAACACACTTCTATTCCTATGTGCATCTGAAGTATGTACAGTAAAACACCAACACAGCTTTCATGTGTCAATTGGGGGAAATGCACACAAGAGTGCCTTTAAAGGATCTGATAAAGCAACCTCTTATAAAGCCAAAATTAGGCTTAAAAAACTGCTAACAGTTGATTTCACCCTTGCAACTTGTCAAAGAAAAAATTCATCAGTTTAAAAATAGAAAGATGTTAAATTCACTGAAAAATTAAGCTGGGTTCTTTCATTAAATCTGGGAATACTGCAACATCAAGTTTTTACTGTTTTTGCAAGAGAAACGAAACTGGCAGCTCCGTTTTTACATTATTACTTATATATGAAAGTTCTAAGAGTGAAGAATTGTGACAAAACATTCCAAATGGACAACCTAAAAATGGAGCAAGGGATACTGTCCCTCAGCACATTTCCCCACCAAAGAGAGAAATTTACTATTAGAATATTAGCTGTGTGTGGTAAGAGGGGAAAAACAGATATGGTGTCCCAGTCTGCTGACGAGGACAAAAAGGCTCTGAATAGGTCACCATCTTCAATTCTGAATAATCTCATATTTAAGAATTCTCAAATGCTTAAAATGGTGGTCTTTTCAGCTACCCATCCTAAGAAGTCAAGTACAAGCATGCAAGTAAATTCACAGGCACAGAGGATCCATGTTAAAAACAGTTAAGGTAGCTGTGATGCAACACCAACGATTTGAATGGCCCTGACACACTCAAAATATTATCTTAATTATTCAACAAAATCCTGAAGCAAACTCTTGCTAGTCTTGGTACACTGCTAAACACTAAAGTAGCATGTTTTTTCCATGGTTTTAGCTTAGCTCAAAGAATTTTTACACTATTAAGTAAGAAAAAAATTAAAGTATTTCCCCTTTTCAAATTTACAGAGACGTTTAATTAGCTTTATTTACAGAGCAGAGATTTTTTTCAGTCTCCAATGGTGCCTAGATAACATCATTAGGCAAGAATGCCAGTTTAAAAGAAATCTACGCAGAATCCTAAAAATAACAGATGTTGATGCTCCTCAAGAAGGGGCAAGCTTGACTATATCAGCAGCTCTACGTCTCAGTTACTCAGAAGCAATTCTGTTGCAGTCTCTACAGCCCAAGATTTTGAAGACAAGGCCACTATTACTGCATTCCTATCAAAGCCCATAGCACATAGGTTTTCTATTTTTTTGGTGTATTCTGGACTAGAAACTGGTGCTCCAGCATACACATGTGCCCAAAGTCGAGCTGTCTGTTTGAACATTTCGGGATTTTGTTTGTACTGATCTGCTACTACTGCATCTTGTGGATCATCTGGTTCTGCAGCTGCCAGTAGTGCTTGCAATGACAATAATACCGTGCGGAGAGTCATTGCTGCTGCCCACTGATCTTTCAGGATATCCAAACAAATAGCCCCTGTGACGGAACTAATATTAGGATGCCATATTTTCGTGATAAACCGGACCTTAGGGGGATTAAATGGATATGTTTCTGGTATTTTAATCTCTAGTTGATATCTTCCTCCTTCATATGGTGTGTCTGGAGGTCCTGCTATTTCTCCTCTTAATTCTGTAAAATTCTCATCTACAAGATCTACTTTAATTTGATTTTTGCTCGTCTCCTCGCTCTTCAGCACCTCCTTGAACTCCCGCTTGATTCGCTGCACCGCGATGTTGGCCATGTCTCCGCCCGCAGCTGATTCGTACCCGCCTCCTCCGCCACCGTTACGACCACCGCCACCGCCGCCACCTCTTCCTCCACCGCCTCCTCCCTCTGCGAGTCACACCGGTGCACAGGAACGCGGCCAACGCCACCCCTGCCGCCGCGCTCTCCTGAGCGTGGAATCACCTCCGCGCCCGGCCACCAAAATCGGCATCTTAAAACTATAAACATTTCAGTGTTTGCTTCCAACTTAAATAGCAAAACTCCTCCTTTCAAGACAAAAAAGGAAAAAATTATGTTATTTCTAGTTCAGCAAAACAATTTTTCCTGGAGTCAGTTCAGATCATCAGAGCACTTCACATTTTGAACTAGTGAATGTCCAAGCTACAACAGTAATCAGTGAAAATTAATCAGCTGTTTTTCAAAACCAAAGAAAAAATTTGAACATACATGAGGATTTTCTCTCTACACGAGCAATTCCAAAGGTGTAGTTAATGGAAGCAACATCATGTTCTCTTTGTTTCTGATATTTCCCTATTTGACCAATGCCACTTCTTGGGAGTCCCTATCAGTTCATTGGATCTATCCTGAACACTTTTCAAATCTACACTGCAAACTGAAGGCTTTAAAAATACAGCGCCTTTATTCTGGCATGGACATATATACACTACCAAATGTAAAACTGATATAGCTAGTGGGAAGCAGCCACATGGTACAGGTTTATCAGCTCGGTGCTTTGTGACCACCTAGAGGGGTGGGGTAGGAAGGGTGGGAGGGAGACGCAAGAGGGAGGAGATATGGGGATATATGTATATATATAGCTGACTCACTTTGTTATACAGCAGAAACTAACACACCATTGTAAAGCAATTATACTCCAATAAAGATGTTTAAATAAAAAAATATATATAGTGCATATGAACTTTACAAGAAGATATTCTAATTCATTCAACACATTTAACTCTTAGGTTCATCTATATAAAGGCTATGAAATGTATACATTATGTTGAACATTTTAGGTATTCTATGTGTTTCATAAATACATATGTCTGTAGAAATCTCATTTAAGACCTAAAAACATCTAATAACATGTAAGGTAATGGAATAAAAATGATTACATATGTTAATATTACAAATATCAATATATTACAATTGCTCTAGTTACAGATATTTTAAATATTAAGGTCATTTAAAAAAAACTAAGACAACTACTTGTTTGCTTGGACAAAACCCAAGCAGGCTAATAAGTAAATGGAAAGGATTTGGATGAGAGAAAATAGGCATGAAGATATTTACAATCAGTTCCTTACTTACCAGAGTCCACTGTGAGTGGTCTTACTTCTGGAAGGCTGCACGTCCTGGAAATCTGTGGATATCAGGGTCAACAAGAACTGTCCAACACCTGGTAGCTGCACTTTCCCTCAGTCCCCCTGAGAGAAGCAGTCACCCCTGGACAAAGTTGCCTTTTAAAGGATTAGACTCTCCTGAGGCCACACCCACTTCTTGAGATTGGATAACAGCTTCAAAGGGAAGTGGAAAATACTGATAAGTTTACTCAGAAAGGTGTGAAAATGGTTGATTGGGTTTTCGGTATATGGAAAACCCAATCTTAGGGGGTTGAGAGCCTAAAAGAATATAGACTTCTTTTGGGGTAAATGTAAAAAAAAAATTGGTGAAAACTTTTAAACAAAATACTTTATATATGTTATATATACATACATAATAATATACATCAATGTATATGTTTATATTAATATGAATATAATATAGTAATTATTTATACCATAATTATGTGAGTAATTATATTTAATACAATGCATAAAGACGACTGGTTTTTATTGAGGTATAATTGACATATAACCTCATATAACTTTCACGTATATAACATAATGATTTGCTATTTGCATATATTGTGAAATGATCACCATATTAGTTAACATTCATCACAACACGTAGTTAAAAATTATTTCTTTTGTTATGAGAACTTTTAAGATCTACTCTCCTAACAACTTTTAAATATGCATTATAGTATTATTATCTGTAGTTACTATGTTGTACATACTGTAGAATATTATTAACAGAAGTGCCATACTACCTGTATTTTGCTGACACCTATCACAGTTTATCAAATTACCAATGCTTACGTACATGTTATTTCACTAAATTATCTATTGTTTGTTAATTGAAGCACTACTTATAAAAAAATATGGGAGCTTCCCTGGTGGCACAGTGGTTGAGAGTCCGCCTGCTGACGCAGGGGACACGGGTTCGTGCCCCGGTCCAGGAAGATCTCACATGCCACGGAGCGGCTAGGCCCGTGAGCCATGGCCGCTGAGCCTGTGCGTCGGGAGCCTGTGCTCCACAACGGGAGAGGCCACAACAGTGAGAGGCACGCACACTGCAAAAAAAAATATATATATATATATATAAATTGACCTTGCTAGAAATTTTGAAAGTGAAAATATAAAGAAGATCAATTGTTTTTGAATTTTATTTAATTTATTTTTTTAAACAGCAGGTTCTTATTAGTCATCCATTTTATACACATCAGTGTACACATGTCAATCCCAATCTCCCAATTCATCACACCGCCACCCACACCCCCCAGCCACTTTCCCCCCTTTGTGTCCATACGTTTGTTCTCTACGTCTGCATCTCTATTTCTGCCTTGCAAACCAGTTCATCTATACCATTTTTCTAGATTCCATGTATATACATTAATGTATGATATTTTTCTCTTTCTGACTTACTTCACTCTGTATGACAGTCTCTAGGTCCATACACGTCTCTACAAATGACCCAATTTAGTTCCTTTTTCCATTGTAGTATTTTCCATTGTATATATGTACCCCATCTTATTTATCCATTCGTCTGTCAATGGGCATTCCATGACCTGGCTATTGTAAATAGTGCTGCAATGAACATAGGGGTGCATGTGTCTTTTTGAATTATGGTTTTCTCTGGGTATAAGCCCAGTAGTGGGATTGCTGGGTCACATGGTAATTCTATTTTTAGTTTTTTAAGGAACCTCCATACTGCTCTCCATAGTGACTGTATCAATTTACATTCCCACCAACAGTGCAAGGGGGCTCCCTTTTCTCCACACCCTCTCCAGCATTTGTTTGTAGATTTTCTGATGATGCCCATTCTAACTGGTGTGACATGATACCTCATTGTAGTTTCGATTTGCATTTCTCTAATAATTAGTGATGTTGAGCAGCTTTTCATTTGCTTCTTGGTCACCTGTATGTCTTCTTTGGAGAAATGTCTATTTAGGTCTTCTGCCCATTTTTGGATTGGGTTGCTTTTTTCTTTAATATTGAGCTGCATGAGCTGTTTATATATTTTGGAGATTAATCCTTTGTCCATTGATTTGTTTGCAAATATTTTCTCCCATTCTGAGGGTTGTCTTTTCGTCTTGTTTATAGTTTCCTTTGCTGTGCAAAAGCTTTTAAGTTTCATTAGGTCACATTTGCTTATTTTTGTTTTTATTTCCATTACTCTAGGAGATGGATCAAAAAGGATCTTGCTGTGATTGATGTCAAAAAGTGTTCATCCTATGTTTTCCTCTAAGAGCTTTAGAGTATCCAGTCTTACATTTAGGTCTCTAATCCATTTTGAGTTTATTTTTGTGTATGGTGTTAGGAAGTGTCCTAATTTCATTCTCCTACATGTAGCTGTCCAGTTTTCCCAGCACCACTTATTGAAGAGGCTGTCTTTTCTCCATTGTATATCCTTCCCTCCTTTGTCATAGATGAGTTGACCATAGGTGCGTGGGTTTATCTCTGGGCCTTCTACCCTATTCCATGGATCTATATTTCTGTTTTTGTGCCAGTATCATATTGTCTTGATTACTGTAGCTGTGTAGTATAGTCTGAAGTCAGGGAGTCTGATTCCTCCAGCTCTGTTTTTTTCCCTCAAGACCGATTTCGCTATATGGGATCTTTTGTGTCTCCATACAAATTTTAAAATTTTTTGTTCTAGTTCTGTAAAAATGCCATTGGTAATTTGATAGGGATGGCATTGAATCTATAGATTGCTTTGGGTAGTATAGTCATTTTCACAATATTGATTCTTCCAATCCAAGAACATGGTATACCTCTCTCTCCATCTGTTTGTATCATTTTTGATTTCTTTCATCAGTGTCTTATAGTTTTCTGCAGACAGGTCTTTTTTCTCTCTAGGTAGGTTTATTCCTAGATATTTTATTTTTTTGTTGCAATGGTAAATGGGAGTGTTTCCTTAATTTCTCTTTCAGATTTCTCATAATTAGTGTATAGGAATGAAAGAGATTTCTGTGCCTTAATTTTGTATCCTGCTACTTTACCAAATTCATTGATTAGCTCTAGTAGTTTTCTCGTGGCATCTTTAGGATTCTCTACATATAGTATCATATCGTCTGCAAACAGTGACAGTTTTACTTCTTTTCCAAGTTGTATCCTTTTATTTCTTTTTCTTCTCTGATTGCTGTGGCTAAAACTTCCAAAACTATGTTGAATAATAGTGGCAAGAGTAGACATCCTTGTCTTGCTCCCGATCTTAGAGGAAATGCTTTCAATTTTTCATGATTGAGAATGATGTTTGCTGTGGGTTTGTCATATTTGGCCTTTATTATGTTGAGGTAGCTTCCCTTTATACCCACTTTCTGGAGAGTTTGTATCATAAATGGGTGTTGAATTTTGTTGAAAGCTTTTTCTGCTTCTATTGAGATGATCATGGTTTTTATTCTTCAATTTGTTAATATGGTGTATCATGTTGATTGATTTGCATATATTGAATAATCCTTGCATCCCTGGGATAAATCCCATTTGATCATGGTGTATGATCCCTTTAATGTGCTGTTGGATTCTGCTTGCTAGTATTTTGTTGAGGATTTTTGCATCTATATTCATCAGTGATATTGGTCTGTAGTTTTCTTTTTTTGTAGTATCTTTGGTTTTGCTATCACAGTGATGGTAGCCTCATAGAATGAGTTTGGGAGTGTTCCTTCCTATGCAATTTTTTGGAAGAGTTTGAGAAGGATAGGTGTTTGCTCTTCTCTAAATGTTAGATTGAGTTCACCTGTGAAGCCATCTGGTCCTGGACTTCTGTTTGTTGGAAGATTTTTAATCACAGTTTTAATATCATTACTTGCGATTTTTCTGCTCATATTTTCTATTTCCTCCTGTTTCAGTCTTGGAAGGTTATACCTTTCTAAAAATGTGTCCATTTCTTCCAGGTTGTCCCTTTTATTGGCATAAAGTTGCTTGTAGTAGTCTCTTAGGATGCTTTGTATTTCTGCGGTATCTGTTGTAACTTCTCCTTTTTTATTTCTAATTTTATTGATTTGAGTCCTCTCCCTCTTTTTCTTGATGAATCTGGCTAATGGTTTATCAATTTTGTTTATCTTCTCATTAGAGGAGGAAGATGGCAGAAGAGTAAGACGTGGAGATCACCTTCCTCCCCACAGATACATCAGAAGTACATCTACACATGGAACTGCTCCTATAGAACACCCACTGATCACTGGCAGACCTCAGACCTCCCAAAAGGCAAGAAACTCCCCAAGTACCTGGGTAGGGCAAAAGAAAAAAGAAAAAACAGAGACAAAAGAATAGGGACGGGACCTGCACCAGTGGGAGGGAGCTGTGAAGGAAGAAAGGTTTCCACACACTAGGAAGCCCCTTCGCAGGCGGAGACTGCGGGTGACGGAGAGGGGAAGCTTCAGAGCCTCGGAGGAGAGCTCAGCAACAGGGGTGCGGAGGGCAAAGCGGAGAGATTTCCGCACAGAGGATCGGTGCCGACCAGCACTCACCAGCCAGAGAGGCTTGTCTGCTCACACGCGGGGACGGGCAGGGCTGGGAGCTGAGGCTCGGGCTTCGGTTGGAGCTCAGGGAGAGAGGGAGTCCGGGAAAAAGACTGGACCTGACGAAGAGGCAAGAGACTTTTTCTTCCCTCTTTGTTTCCTGGTGCGCGAGGAGAGGGGATTAAGAGCACTGCTTAAAGGAGCTCCAGAGACTGGCGAGAGCCTCGGCTAACAGCGGGGACCCCAGAGACGGGCATGAGACGCTAAGGCTGCTGCTGCCGCCACCAAGAAGCCTGTGTGCAAGCACAGGTCACTCTCCAAGACCACAAGTTATAATGTGAATCAACTCCAGGTAACAAATTGTCTCTTATAAAATGAATAAATGCAATAATCTCTTCTAAACTGGACTAAGGGTGCCCTATTTGTGTTTCTGAGAGGAGACCATAATATTTTTGCTCTTTTTTTTCCCCAGAGTTTTTGATTTACATATAACTCTGAGTTGTCAATCAACAAGTTTAAATATTTATTTAAATTTGAAATTTATTTAAAGATACGTCTATAAACTAAAGGTGAAATTTATTTAAAGATACGTCTATAAACTAAAGGTGTTAAAGATATATAAAGTATTGCATTTCACTACCTGTGTTCTCAATTGATTCAATACAATCATCCAGTCTATATGAAACACTTACCTTTGCCTTTCAGGTATGGTAGGTGAACCAAAACAAGATAGCTGAGCCTTCTCCCCCAGAAAACTTACTGTATAGTTAGAAAGATAAGGCAAACACAAAACAATTTTTCAAAACATGCTTAAATTAATCACAAGATTTAATAAAATACAACTGAAATGCTTAATGCAAAAAAGATTTAAAGGAAAAAAAATAATAAAATTTTTATAGAGATATAATCTGAACTGTATATGTATTTTTAAACTTCTTAGTGTCCACATCATAAAAGGTAATTAAAAACATTTGAAATGAATTTCAATAATATACTTAAATATATTTAAAAGTTATCATTAAAAATATAAATAATATTGAAAATATTAATGAGCTATTTTACATTCTTTTTTCTATACTAAGTTTTTGATGTCCAGCATGCATTTCATACTGACAGCACAGCTTAATTCAAACTAGTCACATTTCAAGAGCTTGATATCTACATGTGGCTACCCTATTAGGCATTATGGAATTAGACAAACCACCTATTACATGGGAGACACATTGTTTTCAAATCCTCAGGTGACAGAACAATTTCAAGCAGTCTTAGGAAAAGAGGGTGGATTGGAACCCACTATCTCCAAATTCCATAGCAATAGATGAGCATTATAAACAGTCTCATGATAATTTTAGAGGAAAAGTTGTCAAAATCAGCCAGTCTGTTTGCTTTGTAAGAGAGGACTAAATGGGCTTCCCTGGTGGCGCAGTGGTTGAGAGTCTGCCTGCCGATGCAGGGGACGCGGGTTCGTGCCCCGGTCCGGGAAGATCCCACATGCCGCGAAGCAGCTGGGTCCGTGAGCCATGGCCGCTGAGCCTGCGCGTCCGGAGCCTGTGCTCCGCAACGGGAGAGGCCACAACAGTGAGAGGCCCGCGTACAGCAAAAACAAAAAAAAAAGAGAGGACTAATTAGCAACTGTACTTGGCATCTTAATGTCCACCAGTGAAGTTCCTTATTTTCTGGATACTGTGAATTGTATTCTTTAGGCCTTTTGTAGAATTTCCAAAGACTAGACTTTTCTTAGGATATTGTACGTTTGAGAAGATTAGGTTATCTTAGGTGTAAACACAAGCTCAAATCATTTTGATTGGATTTACACAATGGCCTAATTTATTTTTAAGGAAACATCTACATGTTCCTGCAGTCCTCAATCCAAGGGACAGTGATTGCTCCATATACCTGTAATGCTTATATTCTGTTTTTTTTAAAAAATAATTATTTATTTATTTGGCTGTGCCAGGTCTTAGTTGAGGCACTCAGGACCTTCCTTGTGACATGCGGGCTCTTAGTTGCGGCACGTGGGGTCTAGTTCCCTGACCAGGGGTCGAACCCGGGCCCCCTGCATTGGGAGTGCGGAGTCTTAGCCACTGGACCACCAGGGAAGTACCTGTAATTCTTATATTCTTTAAACTTCTTTTTATCTTTTACTAGACAATACTTCATTGCGCCAATGTTATTGTAATTAATCATTCTTTACGTTAACTTTCTCTGTTTATGTTTCTGTGTGGTTTCTCTGTCTTGACTGAATGCTAATGCCTAAGTGTTATATCAATGCAAGGGAATGCTCTGTGTCAGTGGACTCTAATGACCTACAGCCACAATAATACATGGATGAAATGTCAAAAGTGAGTGAAAAAATCAAGTCCTAGAAAAATATACATGGTACAATTTTATTTATAAAATTCTAAAAATACACAACAAATAACAGACTGATGCTTTCTACACGTGCAGTGACAGGAGTAGTTTTGTAAGTGCTGAATTAGACATGACTCTCTGATAATGCCACATGAGTGTATTAAAATTTTACTCTGTTCTTAATTTCAACATTTAGTCCAACTTCAGAATAGCTTTCTATAATTACAGAATAAAAATCATCCATCTTTCTTATTCGATCTATATGGAGAAGAAAAAAGAATGCCAAGGTGGATATATGTATCTATCTGTATCTATATATGTATATATATATACATAACTTTATTTTTCAGTTTATCAGTACATCCAACATGATTCTTTCTGAGTGATACATCGTACCAATTCAACGTGTTCCCCAAAGAAACTTCTTAGGCTACTTCTCTCAGAGTCCCTGCTGCAGCCTGCACGGTGAAGGCTGCAATAGAAATGTGTCTCTTCACTTCTTCCCAGGCCTTGGAAGGATCCACCTTGCTTTCAATATCAAACAGAGCATCGAAGATCCCTGGGAATGACTCCCCCATATACTTGTTGTGGCTGCTTGGAGCATAGATGACATGCCTGTTGATAAAAATAGTTTGCTATCAGTTGCTCGAATTATATATACAAGGGAAAAAACAGGGACATTCTACAATTCATGGATTGTATAATTCTAATTGCTACTTGTCAACTAAATTTACAAGTTCAATCTCCAAAGACTAGTCTATGAAATATGTGGCAATTAATTATATTTTGACTTTAGACAGATGACTTAAAGTGGCTCAGAGCAACAAAAATGATGACAATGATAGCAACAACAGCTTGGCACCTACTATGGATCACGCTTGGCATTAAATTATTTACCTATTATTTTTCTAATCCTTGAAAGTAAACTCTACAGAGTTGAGATTATAATTTCAAAGAGGAGGAAATTGAGGTCTGGGAGATGAAGTGATCACTCTCAAGGCACACTGCAAGACGTGATGACTTCAAAATACCACTCTATCCTCTGAAATGTAGCACAACTGTGATTATAGGGTTTCATTTGTGACCAGACAACCTATCATTGTGTTTTCCTCCTATTTAAAAAAGAAGTCATGTTATAATACCTAGCGTCAAGCATGAAGAATCATTAAAAACAGTTTTATAACATTCAACATGACCTAGGAACAAGGTGATGTTTTTACTGAAGGAGCTCAGCCAGTGCATGTAACAGCCCTGGAAGAGAAGGACAGGTTCCACAGTAAAGAGGTAAAGAAGGAAAGGAGCATGATTATGCCACTAAGGGGGATCCATTCACCCTGTTTGGATGATGCCCTTATGTCCAATTCCAATTCTTTCATAGATAATCCCTAAACAGAAAGATGAGGTCGTTTCTGGCTGGTCAATAATCTAATTCTTTCTGAATACTTAGTAAGATCAACCTGGGGACAGTTGGTGTTTATCAGAAATAATTATAATTGTCAAAAATTAGTAAAAAACTAAATGTCGACATTAAGAGATAGAGTAAATAAATATATAATTTATTATGCCTTATGTATATGCATAAATACACATAAATTCAAAATAAAATAAGAGAGGGGCTAAAATTATGTATACCAAAGGACAAACATGATTTTATATCTGATAAGTAGAGTTGGGGAGATTTTTATTTTCTACTTCTGACTTCCTGGGTTTTCTAAATTTCCTGCAATGAACATATACTCTTTTATACATAGAAACAAAAAAGATAATAAAATAAAGATCTGTAGTAATCATATTACATTATATAAATAAATAATATATTTATCATTTACTACATATATTTTGAAATTTTTTATATGCTTGCAAGAAATCAACTATATTTTTCCCACAGGGCAAAAAATAAGAAAAAAATATATTAAAATAAAGAGTCATATTTTTACCCTTACCTATAGAAAGGCCTGTCTGGTAATCCTAAAGGATCAATAAATGCTCGTTCCAAAAACATCAGTTGATCATTCATAATTCTTAATAATATTGGGCTGGAAAAGGAAAGGAATACAGTTGTAGCTTCATGAAAATGTGTGCACTACTCAGCAAACTAAAAACTCAAAACAAAACTAAACACAGCTAATATATTTTCACTTCCTATAACATGCAAATCAAGAACAGTAGCATGCATAGTTATATTTTTTAAAATCCTACCAAATACTACTCTGCTGAGGCTTATAAAAGGACCGAAAAAGTTCAATGTGCCCATGGAAAAAATATATAGTAATTTTTATTTATATTGAAATAATTAATTGATAAACCTAGGTATTCAAATACAGGCAAGACTTTTTTCATCTTAAGTCTCATAAAAATCTGTTCATAGAAGTCATTTCAATATTGAAATGGAATAGTCTATTAATGTTTAGTAGGGTACCTGGGGAATTATACATATTTACCAAATGACAGCTAATAATATTTTTATTATTTTTTTTAAAGATAAACCTATCATGAACAAAAGGGGTGGTGCTTATTTCACCCTTTCAACAATATTTGAATGCCTGTTATGTATCAGACACTTCTGGCTTTCACAGAGCTCACATTCCAAAGTGTGCGGGACAGCGTTACTATAATAAAAATGACTCAATACAACTGAAAATTTACCAGCAAGCCTGGAGTAGGGCAACAACGTTATTAAATTCAACCTATTAAGTCTGTCATAATGAGAAATAACCATTACCATAAGGAATCATAAATTACTTTATATAAAAATTATCTTAGTTTTGTTATTTTTTAGATTTAATAATAAAACAATGTGCTCATTACTATTCTGAATGTTTATAAAATTTGTTCTTTTTAATCTTCAGAGCAGTCCTCCAAGTTATGCAGGATAATAGCCCCGTTCCACAGATGAGATACTCAGATTCAGTAGATAAATGACTTGCCCAGGTTCACAACTAGAAAATTTTAGAGTGAATAAGTAGCTCAGTACTATTCCTTCAACTGCACTGTGTTGACAACAGGAAGACAGACTAATTAAAGGCCCCACAGATTGGATTTGAGCTATTTTCAACATTCATTTATTTAGCATCAAGAACTCAGGTTTTGCGATAGTATAAAGGTAAACTGGGCATACACTTTACCTGTGAGCAGTTCACATAAACTAACAAAGGCGGCAACTGAACGAACCATAATTTCAATAAGACGCTACAGGTTTCCGAACCAAATTCATAAAGCATTGCTACAAACACAAAAATTCATGTGGTTACGCACACACCCCATTTGGATGTTCCTTGTACAGAGCAGGGTTCAATCTGAAATATCCCTGGGAGGTAAATGCTCACAGCACCAGACGTACGTAAACAGGATCTATTTCCACCAGAAGCAGGCTGGCCTCCCTAGGGTTGGAGGAGGTAGGTCTTGAGGTTGAATACTATGTGAGCATAAAAGTACCAGGGGGTCAACACTCTGTATCCTTTGATGGGTTAAGGGATTGATTTAAGAAAAGCAGGATTCAAGAAGTGTCTCTTCCTCACATTTCAAAGTTTTGGTTGAGAAATTCAACATCCACTTTAATTTACTTTAGCCAGCATTTACTCATATTATGTACAAAGCATGGCTCCAGGTGTTTCAGGATATGTAAACATAATATAGAGACACAATCTGTACCTTAATTATCATTTAGAGATGGTAAGACAAATACAGAAATACTCAAGGAAGTGAAAGCTCAGTGTCCTGGATTACCATACCATGCCAACAGCAGTTCTCCACAAGGAAGAAACGTCATTTATTTAATGATAGAAAATCAGCTTAATAGACTATATGGTGTTTGGCATTTCTCTAAAATTTATTTATAATTGTTGATTTTTTACTCACATAAAAAATTTGGAAAGAATTGTAAAATATAAGAAAAAAAATCTTCCTATTCACCCAAGGATAACACGATTATCATACTAATTGGTTTTCTGTAAGATTTTCTCTATATTCGATAAAATATTGTATATGTACAATCTTATGACCTTTTTGTTTGCTTAACATTTTATTACAAATATCTTATTATACTTCCTTTATAACCGTCAGTGTTAATCTTTACAAAATGTTTAAATGGGTGGACATCTGATTGTTTAGTAATTTCTGTCCTCATAGGTATTAAGGCTGTTTTGAATTATCTGGTATTATAATTTGTAACTTTCTCTGAGAAGCCATTTTATTCCCTCAAATTTGAGACTCTTTCCTGAAGAAAAAAATTCAAGAAATAGAAATATTACGGCAAAGTGTAAGAACCCTGTCATGGCCCTAGAAACTTTAACAATATGTATTTATGATTTTTAATAGTTTAAAGCAATTCACAATGCTATCAGAAAAACATGAGAGCATCTGTTCAGTGTACTGACTATAGCAATGTGTACAAACAAGTTTTAAATTGCTACTCATTTGGTATGAAAATAGTATGACATTATTTTCATTTGTATTTTTGAATTATTAGTAAATTTGAATTTTTTTAATCTGTTTCTGCACAGGTGGTATCTTCTTTTTGAATGATTTCTCTTGTCTAGTGCCAATATTTCCAACTTTGTTCTTTTGATTTTCTTATCAATTGTCAAAAAAAAGTATTTTTATTATATCTATGTTACCCTCCTGTCCGTATTTTCTGGAAAAGAGTTTTTCCAGTCTTTTATCTTTGATTTGGAGTATCAGTTTCCATATTATTAACCATTTTAATATTCTCAAATCTGATTGCATTGTTATTTCTAAACTTGGAATCTCACTTCCAAGATATTTCAATTTTTACTAAAAATTTCTTCTATCCCTGTTGTTTATTTTTGCATAGAATGTGAAGTGAGATTTTGAATTCACTTTTTTATCAATTCCTGAAAGAGCTTATACAATATTATTGTTGAATACCTTTCTTTCTCATTTGACTTTAATGTATTCTTCATTACAAATACATCCTTATATATCACTGGTCTATTTTTTGTTCTGTCTGCTCTTTGTCTTTCTATGTATTCCTGCATCAGTCTCTAAGGATTTGATATTTGTATCATCACAATATTTATAATATATAGTAGATATTCACTCTCAAAATTCTACCTTTAAAAAATTGTCCCTAACATTCTCTTTTTCTCCAGTCTTAAAATTTTGTTCATGTTATGTTTTACTTTTGTGATTCTACAAGAATTAATCCCAAATGCTTAACATCTAAAAAAAACTAATGGCTTTACCTTATTTGCTAGTCTGGATATAGAGAATTTTTCCAGGTGGAAGTGGAGATTAGGAACTCTTTGGGTAATGACATTAAGAAAAGGGAGGAAGAAGGTGTGTTTTGGGAATAGGAGAGCTTGGTTGAAGTATGATTTACAGATGTTGAAAGAACAGGAGATAAAACTGGAAAAAGATGGGGACACACAGTGGAAGGCCTTCAATGTTAAGGTGGAAATTTTGTAACTACCACTCAGTTGGTAGTAAAGAAGGTACCAGCATTTCTCAACAGCACATATGCCCTCAGAATGTCAAAAATATCTCTTTGAGAGATATGGCAGCCCTGTATAGCCTGTTAGAATGAAGAGAAAGAAAGCAGAAAAAAACTTCCCAAAGATACTTCAACAACAAAGATATCAGCTAGTATATCTTTTTCATTATATCTATTACATGCAAAACTTATATCTATATATATACAACGTACTTGTTTTTGTCCAAGTCTTGGAGTCTCTCACTGAAGTTAGAAGCAATTTCTGTAAAATTCTTCACTGCAGAAAATAGTGATTCTGAAATAGAAATGAGGACCTAATGGCATTGTTCTATAGTTTAAGCAAAGGGAACAATATAGAAGGTTGTTTTCTTTTGTATTTAGCAAGGTATTTATATTTTGTATATTGCAAGACAGGCATCAATGAAATGGAAGATACATTTATATGCATAAAATATTTGATCATATGGAATAGCAGTAAGTAATAAATGGGCCTAAGGTAGATCATTACATTTTAGAGATTAATAGAAACATACAGACTGTGAATTTTGAAAAATGAAGGGTATCATACCAAATGACACATTGTATGTTTTCATTTCTTGTGGATGTTTCATTGAAATATTGTAGATTTTATCAGCATACTTTCTTAAAACGACAGCATAATCTCGACAGTCAAAAGGGAGCACTATGGAATTGGCTAGTTCGAAGACGAGTCCTCCTCGAACCTGGGCCACAGCAAGGTGATACTTAAAAGCTGGATCATAAAACTTTTCCACTAATTCGTATGTTTCATAGACACTGTGATACAATGGATAGCTGCTGAATTTGTTTGTTGCCTACAAAAAAACCCAAAAAACAAAATATATCTCTCGTGAGATAACACATAAAATGCATAGTATCATAGATACTGTTAATATTAGTAAGACTGTTTCTGTCAGCAATGAATAAAGGAAAGTATTTAAGTACCTCAATAAGCCACTTACTAAAGGGTTAATATAATATTAAAACCCACCCCAGGTTTTCACCAGTTAAAAAGTATGTGTATATAACATAAACAATGCTATGAAAATTACCTTGGAAAAAACCTAACATTCTTGCCTTTAAGAAAACAGGAGATGTAATAGAAATATTTCTGAAATAAAGACAAGATAATGTTGCATTTGGGTGAAAACAATTTAAGTAGACAGAGAATCATTAGAAGCAAGGAAATAAGCATGATACAATATTATATAGGGCAATGCTGCAAATCGTTTAATGACTGAAATTCCATGAATAACTTTCTGACGAGCAGTGTGCTGACAAGTGAAGAGTGAACAGTGAGGGTTTCAGCAGAAGATCCAAAATCTCAGTAAGTGAAGAAGTAATGCTCAGATGGGCATAAAAAAACAAGAACATACACAAAAGGCAAGAGAGAACAACTTTTCAAATTCTGAGTTGCTGATTTATGTCTTTTGCCCATCGTTTAGATGCTTATTCAGTTTTTTTTTTTTTTACTGATATAACAGAACACTTTATATAGTGGTGTGTTGAGAGTAGGACTCTGGAATTAGCCTGCCAGAGTTTGAATCCAGGCTTCATGGCTTATTACCAAATAACTCTGGGAGGTTATTAACCCAAAAGTTATTAACCTTTCTTTGCTGTAGTCTTCTAATAAGTAAAATGTAGATAATATTAACATCTACCCTCATCACCAACCCCAATGGTAAGAGATTATAAAGATTTTCTGTCTGGGGAGAATAACTAGCCCAAGACAAAAGACCTATAGATTCTCTGCGTTAGTTGGCTCCCAATGAAGCAACAAGAACACACATTCTCAATCCCTCTCTTGTGAGGCCCCCCCTACAACAAACACCACCCCTGCATACAGGGCTTCAATCAGCTTTTTATGGTCTCACTCCCAAATAAGATACATTGCCAAAGAGGGCCAGGCATTTGAAGAAAGTCTTTAACTTGAAAGATACAGACCAAGCACACAAACTAAAATAAAATCAACCCACAGTAAGGAGGTACTACGGGAATGGAGGGAAACAATAAAAAAGAATGAATGAATGGCAGAGTTGAGAAAAATATCCCAGAATGTAGAAAAAGACACAGATAAGAACACAAAAGAACAGATAAAGACATTGGAAAATAATGCTACAGATGCTAAACAAATTAATAATGGTTTGAGAAAGAGGAAAGAGGGAATAATCAAAGAAAAAAACATTTCCTCCACCTACAATACATAGGTTTCCAGAACTAAGAGTCCACTTTGTTCCCAGCTCAGCATATTAAAAAATGGCATAATACACATGTACACCAAGGGCAACACAGTCATAAAGAGAAGATACTAAAATCTTCCTTTAAAAAAAACCAGAGGCAGGACTTCCCTGGTGGCACAGTGGTTAAGAATCTGCCTGCCAATGCAGGGGACACAAGTTCGATCCCTGGTCTGGGAAGATGCCACATGCCATGGATCAACTAAGCCCGTGCGCCACAACTATGGAGCCAGTGCTCTAGAGCCCCCGAGCCACAACTACTGAAGCCTGCATGCCTAGAGCCCGTGCTCCACAACAAGAGAAGCCACGGCAATGAGAAGTCGGCGCACCACAACGAAGAGTAGCCCCCGCTCACCACAACTAGAGAAAGCCCGCACACAGCAACAGAGACCCAATGCAGCCAAAAATAATAAATAAATTTATTAAAAAAAACAAACAAACAGAGGCAAGAGATCAAGGAAAAAGGGACTTCCCTGGTGGCACAGTGTATAAGACTCTGCACTCCCAATGCAGGGGGACCGGGGTTTGATCCCTCGTCAGGGAACTAGATCCCATGTGCATGCTGCAACTAAGACCTGGTATAACCAAGTAAATAAATAAATTAAATAGAAAAGAAAGAGATCAAGGAACAAACAATATCTCTCAACAGGCAATGAAGCAATGAGTTCAAAATTCTAAAGTTACAGAATTTTCAAGCAAAATTTTGTGCCCAGTCAAATTATTGAAGAATTTTGTATAGTATAACAGACATGCAAGGTTTAGCTGTCATTCACCCTTTTCAAGAAGTGCCTGAAGGATGTGCTCCCAAAAACGTGGAGAGTAAATAAGAAAAAGGAAGAAAAATCTGGGAAACAGAAAATCCAAAATACGAGTGAAATGAAGATACTCTCAGATTTCTTAGTGAAGGAAAATTTCACAGCCAAGAGCTGTGCCACAGGCAGAAAGAATAACCAGAGAACTCAGAGGAGCAGAAGAGCCCCAATGGGAAAAATGGAGTCTGCCAGTTCACCTGATGTGTTTGAATATACTAAGAGTTTGAGGTGAGTTAAGTATGGATACACAGAGGAAAAAAATGTCTTCTAATCAATAAGGGTAGCACAACTATATATTGAAAAAATGCGACGAGGGAAAGTATTTGGGAGCTGGCAGAAGAAGTGATATAAGAGAACTGAATGCCTAGCTTTCCTAGTAAGAAGTAAATGGATAAATACCTAAAACTGAAAAAGAAAGAAATAGCAGCAGAAGCATATTATTTACAAACATGCAGATTGGTATCAGAAGAAACCAATTAAAATACTGAAAGAATTTCAATTTGATGAACATAATCAGAGATGGAAGAAGCACGGTGCTTAAGTCGCTTTTTTTGATCCAGAATTATTTGTTTAGCTAAAACATATTCATAACTAACCATGAAGAACTCACTGATAGACTTACCCAATCTTTAGTGTACCGTGCTCTGCCTGAAGCAATTCCAAGTCTTTGGAAGAACACTTCAAAATCATTACCAGATCCTAATTTGCTAATCCTTTTAGGGATAAAATACAGGATTATTTGAGTAACTTCTTCACTGAGTACAGATCAATATTAATTAAACTAATCTCCACTCAATACTATAAATATAATTTTTAGATACACTGTATTGGATATATTTTAGATATAAGCAGCAAAAAAAACCCAAAAAGTGAGGGGGGAATGTCAATTCTGATCACAAAATATCTACTTCCATAAGACTGTTTTAGGGAGAGGTGACCACTGTTCTTTTGGGTTTCTGGATCCAATTCCAACCTGTTTGTGTGTGTGTTGTCGGGGGGGCAGTTCCCTACACCAACAACAAGCGATTCTCCAGGCCATCAGCTGGGTATTCTACAATTCAACTCAATTCTGACATTGTCCACCCAGAGATAGGGTCAGGTCCCACACATTAAGGGCTCAGTCCCAAGAGACTGTCCCCCCCAACACACAACCACCACCAGTGCTTCTGACCAACTGGCTGTAGATGGGAGGCTCCCACGAGCCCCTCCTTGGGTTTGCTAGAGCTGCTCGTAGAGCCCAGAGAAACATATACTTACTAGATCATCAATTTATTATGAAAGGTTATAACTCAAGAACAACCAGATGGAAGAGATGCATAGGGCGAGGTATGGGAAAGGGGTCAGAACTTCGATGCCTTGTCCGGGCTCGCCGGACTCTTCCAGCACCTCCACGTGTTCACCAACCAAGAAGCTCCCCAAACCCAACCCTTTTGGGGTTTTATGAAAGCCTCATTCCATAGTCATGATCAATTAAGTCACTGGACACTGGTGACTGAGTCAACCTCCAGGCTCGCTCCCTTCCTGGGAGGTTGAGGGTCAGACTGAAAGTTCCAACCCTCAAGTCACTTGGTTGGTTCTCCTGGCAGCCAGCCCCCACCTTAAGTGGGGTAATATCACCTCATTAATGTAACAAAAGACACCTTTGTCCCTCTCATCACTTAGAAAATTCCAGGGGTTTAGGAGCTCTGTAAGAGATCAGGAGGACCAAATATGCATCATTATGAATCATTATGAACCATTATTATGAATCACAATATCACAATTGTATGTTGCTTTTTAAGAAAAAGATTATTGAAGTTGGAAAATATTTTCCTTCACTATCTTTTTTTATTACCTATATTTGTTGTACATGATAAAGTTAAAAGAATCAGAAAATTTTCAGATAACTCAGATTTAATTCCCATCCTTAAAAATTTAAATTTTTATACTGTTATCTTTAATCTTTACTGAGATATTTATTCCTCTTCCTGTGCTTGTGAAGACACAGCTAAACCTGAAATGATACCTATATTCTTCTTAGAACATTATGCAGTTAACAAAACACTTGTTAACTGTATAATGTTCAGAAAAAAGAATATTTATACAGTGATGAGAGGACAGACTTAGGTGCCATGTGTATATATTACCTATTCAAAAGCGAACCATATTTTGATGGCCTACAGATTTAATTTCAAAACACACAGCAATATTTTGTAAGCAGATAGGGTAGGGGGTCGCTGGAGAAAGAGAACTAGGCATGGCTTTCTTGACATAAGACAACTCATTTTTGGCCGAAGCCATTTTGTGGTAAAGACCTGACCACAATGCTTATCCTTGAACAGGTCTCAGTAATTAATGATCTTAAGGCAGCAAGAGAATTTAGGAATAAATGACTTATCAGGCAAGAGCAATAACAATAGCAAAGATAATAAATCAGTTGTAAAGACTCCCAGTTCTGTTACAATGGTAAAGATTAGCCTGAAGAACATTTTTGAGCTGTTTTGCAGAATTTGGATCCCCTTGAGCACTCAACCTCCAGATCAGCTGAAACCTAAGGAATGATGATGTTGACCCTTTCTGAACTCAATCAACTAAAGTTTGGACTCTGTCAAACTTTGCCCCAATTCTATACTGAATTCTCCTCTGCTCAAACCCCCTCATTGAATATGTATGTACCCTTAACTTGAAACTTCCCCCATTTTGCTGTCCAGGGAGACACTGCTTTGGCAAAGATCCCCGGTACTCTCCTTACTTGCTGCAAGTAATACATCCTTCCTTCTACTGCTCTTTGGGTTGGTTGTGCCATTTGGCTGAAATCCACCAGGAGGCAGACCCAGTTTTTGGGTAACAATTTTATTTGTAAACCTAAGCATCACTTTTTCTTTAACAGATATTAGAGAATTTTAAATTAAATTTTTATTATTTGTTGAAAGAAACTACCCTTTTATTTTCAACACAATTCCATACTGAATTTAGTAAAGAGTTTTCTTTGTTTACCTGGGCAAGCCACTGAATTCGGGTGAAGGGCTTTTTTCATTCCAGCTCTCAAAAAGGGATTTGCCTTCAAAACCTTCATCAGGACTTTGGAGCTACACAAGTTAAAAGGAAAAAAAAAAAGAGAGAGAGAGAGAGAGAGAATACTTATAAATCAGATGTTTTAAAACCTAAACATCTATTAACCAGGGAATGAGTAGCCAAATTATATTCAGGAAAATAAGGAATGCAATTCATACATTAGCAGTCATTAAGAACTACAACAATGAGTTTCTGACAATATGGGAAAATGCTCATGTTATTATATATAATGCACCTATTATAAAAAAAAATACATGGAATGTATAGAAAAGAAAGCTATACCAAATTATTACCAAGCCATTGTATTCAGACGAATAGTCACACTGTAAGATTTTTTTTTTTTTTGGTCTATTTTTCCAAATTAAGGGAGGCTACTCTTAAAAACACATTCATCCTCCTTTTATAAAAAAAAAATGAAAAGAAGCAAGCTGGTTAAGGGAAGGTTTGTTTTTTTTGTTTTTTTTTAAATATTGCTTTGTGCCAACAAGTTTGTCAAAGTCATTAAATAATACATAACAAAACAAATGCACTAATATCTTATTTAATTAGTTGAGTATTTATTGTAATTGTGTTAAGCACAGGGCTTTCAATACATTTTCAGATTTTACAGATGAGAATTCTAAGGGAGTACAATATGCCCTACTATTGAATGCTAAACTCAGAGCATTAAATGTTATGCCAAAACGTTTAGCACACTAAACTGTAACTAATTCTCACTAAACTGTAACTGAATAATATATGGTATAAAAAGTTTTTATTTTTTATTTAATAAAAGTCCTATGCTCTATTTTTTAACAGTTTCAACTCAAAAGATTTTATAGACTACCTATTCTGTGGAAGACTTTTTGTGGATATCAGCCATACAAAGTTTAATAATACAAATTACACACCATCTACTAGTGGGAACTATAAATGAAAATGTGGAATTCATGTGCTAGGTGCTATAATAGACGGATATGCAAAGGTCTATGGGAACACAGATAAATTTATATAAACTTGGGGAGAGAGAAGTTATGTCAGCATCTTAAGTTATAAAGTATCAATACATAAAGCAACAAAATAATTTTACTCAAGCTTACAAATTTACACAAAACTTTGATACAAGGGACAGCACCACTCCATTTATTTTAAGTAATATGAATTTGAAATAATGTATTTAGAAATATATTACTAAAGTCACAGTTTATCACTAAAATTTGAAATACCGTGAATCACCTTCCCCAAACAAAAATAGAATTTTAAAAATCCACAACTGTCAAGCATCATATAATTGCAAACTTGACCTAGAAAGTAGTGTTTTTGCATTTGTCACAGGGTGCCACCAATCCACCTGGTAAACAAATATAACTGCCAAGCTTCCTTAGCATTGACCTCAAATTACATAAATGGTGGAAATTCTCTGAGACACAATGTTTCAGATATTTAATTTTGTATACACTTCATGGGAATTGTAAAACTGCAGGCACCTGACAGAGATCTTAAGTAACAATATGAATAGATTAGTGCCAAATTAAACTTTTCTATTCCTACTGGAGATGTTAATAAATTAAATTCCATGCTTGGGAAACCAAATCTTAACAATATGTTTAGGACCTATTTAAAATCCCTATCTGAGGGAAATAATTGTCTTTCCTGGTAATTACATTTCAATTGGTAATTCTGTTAAGTAAGCAAGTCTTTTTATCCTTTCCAGTTCAAATCAGGTAATTAGTAGTAACAGCAAAAATCTGCCATGCAAAACATTCCTTATGCCTACCTTTAGGAACAGTGGCTTTATGGGGCAGGAGAATTAAAATGAAGAGTTGCCTATTGGTCCTATAGATATTCAGGCACCACCTCTCCGCCAGATTCAGTATGTTGTGCTGCTGTCAGAATTACGATAACTTTAGCTCAGTGGACTGAAGCCCACAGCAGGAAATCAGGAATTGGGTACATGGTCTTACCCAGTCTCTGTCCCAAGAGTCAGCACCTGGTTTTTTACACATTCTCTTTCTCAATCGGTTAGAAATGTCAACTCTTCCAGAGTCCTAAGTTAATTGGTATCATTATATTAAAGAGTAAAAACCAGTTTTAAAATTGAGGAGTTAAACCGCAGGACCAAGTCCTGGTTCAGCTACTTGAACAAGTTGTGTGACTCTAGTGGCTAATGCTTTTTGGGCTCAGTTTTCTCAGTTTCAAATGGAGATGGTAGATGCAATGCTCTCCATAGACTGCCTCAGATTGGTATGGGAGAAATGGGCAAAAGTTATAAAACAACACAGATGTTTAACATAATAATGCCACCTCAAGAAAACATCATTTGTAGAACTTAAAATTCCATGTAATTATTTTTACCTCCTTTGTTAGGTTGTATACCAAGCTGTACATAAGTGGGGTACAATCAACTCTCAGAGTGTAGTTTCCTGAAAGACAAGAAGATAGTTTGTTTTCTATTTCATTTCTTTATTTTATTCTTCCATTCAAAGACCATTCCTAACTCCTTAGCCAGAATGATCCCTTTATAACCTAAGTCTGGGGAATTCCCTGGTGGTCCAGTGGTTAGGACTATGTGCTTCCACGCACAGGGCATGGGTTTGACCCTTGGTCAGGGAACTAAGATTCCACAACACATGTGGCCAAAAATAAATGAATAAATAAAACCTAAGTCTGATCAAAACTCTCCAACTCATCACTCAATAAAATTCATCCTCACCATGACCCTTGGTGCCACACATGAAACAACCTCAGTTCACCTCTCCACATCTTCACCTACTCCACCCAAGCAAATGTTCTATACAAGAGAGATAATAAAAGTACTCACCTCACAGGAATATTGTGTTAAATAAATGTTTATATTTAAATATTGGTTGGTACTTTGTGTGAGCTAAATTCTGCATATGAATGTCAACATGATGGAAATACCTCAAACTGAGGACAGTAGTTCCTTTGAAGAGAGGGTTATTTGAGAATGGTTTCAGTAGAAGTTCTTTTCTTTGTAAATTTTGCATTTTAACATTAGAAAGTTAATAGATGACTTATTTTAGTACTTGAAAAATGAACAGTTAATACAATTTTAAATATAAAACAAAGTGAGACCAGCTGTATTCCAATCACAGAGTAATGAGTGTGTTATTTGCTCCTGATCCTGAAAATGCTGGGGAGACAATGCAGCATTTTAAACCAGGGAATGATGTAAGCAGCAAAATCAAAGATTAAAAATATGCATTAAAATCAAGTCTTAAAAAAAAAACAAACTAGCAATAGAGAGAACATTATTCTACTTTTGAAGAATATATGTTTGGTATACTTATTCTGTGTGGCAAAGGTGTCTCATCTTCATATGTGTGTTTAAATAAGGGTAATAAAGGAATTCTCTGGTGGTCCAGTGGTTAGGGCTCTGTGTTCTCACTGCGGGGGGCCCGGGGTTCAGTCCCTGGTCGGGGAACTAAGATCCCACAAGCTGTGTGGCACGGCCAGTAAATAAATAAATAAAGCTAATAATAATCCAAGCTAACATTTTTGAACATTTACCCTGTGCAAGGCACAAGTCTGGGAGTTTTGCAAATATTAACTTCTTTTGCCCTTACAAGAGCCTTTGAGATATGTGCTCTTAGTAACTCTGTTGAGAGGTGAGAAAGTAACAACCTGAGGTCACATAACTATAATAGAAAGTAGCAGTGCCGGGAATAAGGCCAAGCCCTGAGCCACTAACTAAGGAAAGTTAGAGGAAGGAAGAAAAGATAACTGAAACGCACGAACTAACTTAGGGGACAGTGCAGCTCAGATACGTGGACAAAAAAGAAAATGTAAATGCCAATGTGTCTCCATCAATATGCAATGCTCCAACTATTTTTGACATGGCAGATTTACTAATACACTAAAGAAAATATTCTATAAGTCCACCCTTCATTCATTTATTCATTCATTTGTTGCACCCATGCAAACACCATTTATTTAATAAGACATTAAGAATCCAGGAATGAAGAAGCATGATCCTGCCTGTTCCTGGCAGAAAAATATAGTCTAGAAAGGGAGAGGGTTTGTAAAACAAATAATTACTTAATAACAGCAGTGATGAGTGCTACAAAGATGGCTTCCCAGAAAAAAATAACACTCCTGGGGAGACTGTAAGAATAAGAATTAAACAGATGGTGTGTCGAACAGCAATCTCAGTACAGAGAACGGCAGTTGCAACGGCTGAGAAGTTGCATGTGGTCAAGGGACAGAAAGATTCGTGCGGGGCTACAGTATAGTGAGTGAAACTGGACTGTTTCAGCTTCTTGAAAATCGACTTGAGATTGTCCCTTAGTTTGAATCTGTTTATCAAAGCAAATCCATTCTAAAAGGCCTGTCTTCGATGCCTATCTCATTTCCCAAGCCTTTCCTGACGTTGCTATCATTCTCTCTTCTGAACTCCAAGATCAGTCCGATAATATCCTTCTGAGAGTACCTGCATATATTAGAATCCTAGACTAATTTATTTTATCATCTATACTGAGTCTTAAATTCTTGAGTACTAGACTGTTCTTTACTAACCCCTAATTCCTTTGAAATCCTGGAAAGTACACTGCATAGAGAGGTGCTTAGTAAATATTTGCTGAATTGAAGGAAAAAATATTTAAGAAGAAAAAATTCTTGGTGAAAGATGAAATCTGGGAAATCAGCATTTGTTTTCAAAATTTGTATGCATGATATTATGATGACAGTAGTTAAATCATACCTTTTTGCTACCCCATTCTAAAATCATAGAAATCTTTAGTTCCATAACTGACTTATTCATTTAACAGATATTCACTGAATTCCTACCATAGATAAGGTAATCTGCCAGATGAAACAAACAAATCATAGAGTGTTGTTTCGAGAGCCCAAATCAGCACCCTAGAGCTCACAGCTGCCATGAGCATGACAAACCAGCAGCAAATTCCCTCACCCCTTGTTAATGGATTTGCATTCCTAGTTAGTGCATAACTTACAAACTAAACTGCTGTTACTACCAAGACCATATATTTTCCTATGAAACCAATAATATTCACCTTCTATAGAAGAATCAGCATTAATATAGGCCACACCACGCACTTGAAGGAGTCTGGAATTCTCCTATAATAGTAAATAAATAAATAAACAAACAAATAGCCATAACCCCTTTCTAAAAAAACGCACATCTACATTTACTGTATGGAGGTTTCTGAATTAAGTTGGCCCAAGTTCACCCCAAATTTGACATGTAAGATTTTCAAGCATATGTTTGAAAGAATTTCAGTAAAGATCATTGGTAAGAAATAACAAGCAAAACAATTTTAAGACTAAAATTTGAGATGAGACTATCCACATTCATAATACAGTGAGTGGAAAAGGAGTTTATTTCTTTGTTTCTATTGGGTAGTTGGTGTGCGCAGGCTTTCTCTAGTTGCTGTGCGAAGCCTTTCTCTAGTTGCAGCAGGCTGCTCTTCGTTGCGGCAGGGCAGGCTTCAGTAACTGTGGCACGTGGGCGTAGTAGTTGTGGTGCATGGGCTTCGTTGCTCCACGTCATGTGGGATCTTCCTGGACCAGGGATCAGAACCCGTGTTCCTTCCATTGGCAGATGAATTCTTAACCACTGTGCCACCAGGGAAGCCCAGAGGTTGATTTCTTAACCACACTATGGTTTAATCCGTCAAATTAAGTTCTCCTGTGTTATGACACCACCTACTGGTCAAAACTTTAAAACATTTTTCTCAGCTTTAAAACACTGACAAAGTATAGCAGGATTTTGTTGATATAAGTGGATTATGAATCTCCAAAACAAGCAATTTTCTAAGTGTCCTGACTGTAAGAAATAAAGTGAAAAAACATACAGCTCTAGGTGATGAAAATAGGACGAAAGAGGCAAATCACACCCTCAGAATATTTAGGCTCTTCTTGATGCCAGCATAAATCTTTGCCTACAGGAGCACTACTTTTTTTTCTACCCCAGAGAAAATTGAAGTTTACAGGGCTTCTCATAGTTCTTAGATAATAGGAGCCAAGTAAATATTTATAGCATGACTAGAAGTTAATGGAATGTTAATTTTGCATATGTTTACAAGTAACACTTCTATTACACAAAGCCAACAATGCATGCAGGTAAAATTACTTTCCAAGGAGCCTAGTAAATATTCTGTGGTGGGGCATTCCACTTCACTTTTAGCATGATTTAGAGTAGGTCATTACGATATGAGGAAGACAGTACAAGCTCAAGGAATATTTAAATGTAATTAGCTTTAGGAGTTAATTTGAAAAAGTTAAAACATTGTATCTTATTATGATGTCCAGTTTCTAGTGAATTTACTTAGCTACTATCACACTCCCAGACAACGAAGATCAAATTATTTCCACAACTGACATTAAGTGGCTTTAAAAGTTCAAACAGGGCTTCCCTGGTGGCGCAGTGGTTGAGAGTCCGCCTGCCGATGCAAGGGACACGGGTTCGTGCCCCGGTCCAGGAAGATCCCACATGCCGCGGAGCGGCTGGGCCCGTGAGCCATGGCCACTGAGCCTGCGCATCCGGAGCCTGTGCTCCGCAACGGGAGAGGCCACAACAGTGAGAGGCCCGAGTACCGCAAAAAAAAAAAAAAAAAGTTCAAACAAATCTTAGCTCTCAAGTGATGAAAAAAATTTTATCGTTGATTTTTGAACAAGAATATGTTGCTTCAGACTTTCTGGAAAAAAGTTTGAATGTTTTCTGGCTGGATTGACCAGTTATTCTTACATTCTTGTGAATTAAATACTAACTGCTTTATTATTATGAAAATGTATGTTATATCGAATTATCAACTAACCTCTGCCCACTCAGTGGAACCAAGAAGACCAAATTCTTCTGCATCCCAGCTTGCAAACAAAATTGTTCTTCTAGGCCTCCATCCTGAAATATATGTGCATAATTATAAAAGCTGGGAAAATGCATAATATTGCCAAGACATCACCACGCCCAGCAGAGTAACAACAGCAAAAATTCATTGGTTGTTTAGGAAGGGTGAATTATGGTGACAATCTTTACTTAATTTCCTTTTGAAAGATTTTAAAGCTAATCTGTCAATACAAAAGAGCACATCTGTATTGAAAAAGCGGGAAATGCAGACATGGTAAAAATCCTGTGAGATCATAAAATATTCTAATGGTTTATAATAATTGCCTACGCTAGGAAGCCATCTGTGGTCTGCAGCTGCCTAGAGTGAAAGAAGAAAGTGCTGGATGTGGTCTGTGCTCTGAGACAATAGAACTGAGAGAAAATCCTTTACAACTCTTCCATGCTGTGTTGGCATCACACAAACAATTGTTCATTGTCAGCTGGTTGTGTGATTTCACTCCATTCTCTGCCAGAATTAGTCAACAGAAGCTCCGTTCTCAGCACTAGTGTCTGCTGCTGCTGAGAAGTGCAGCATTCATTAGGACGGCCATATGGCGTGGAGTCATAAATACTGATCTTGAAGTTAAAGAAAGATCTTATTTCAAGCCCTGGTTCTTTCATTTACTAGCAGTATGACCAAGGGAATGTTATTCAAACTTGTTAGGCCTCTTGTTTCTTCACCTGTATACCAGGGAGAGCAGAGTAAAGATAACTCTCCTTGATTGTTAGGAGGATTAAATGGAATAATATTTATAAATATAGCACTGAACAAGTGCTCCAGGCATGTAAGTTGTTATTGTTTGAGTACATTTTTCATTTGTGCTGAAGGATATATATCCCTCTAGCTGTTGAGTCCAGAGCTTCATTTTTGTTAAGTATATTAATAGCATTATTCAAATCTCCTATTAATTATTATTCCCCATCATTGCAGTCTTTGGGCATACTTCGTAATTGTCATAGTGATGTTTTGTATTTACCGAGGGAATCTTCTGGCAAAATCATGAAACTTTTTGTAATACTATGAAACACAACCTAATTCACAAACTATGTAAATTCAGGTCTCTGTAGTCCTATTTTCTTAAAAAATAAGATAGCTGTGTGGAAAAAAGAATAGAGCACCTTTACATTTGATTTCAAAGAGTGACATCACTGTTTAGTGGACTGGGAGACAGAAATCTGAATTTTAACCCTAGTTCTCTGATTCTGCCACACACCAGCTACAAAACGTTGGGTCAATTACTTGATTCTGGAAACCTCAGTTAACTTATTTGTAAAATGAAAAGAGAAATAACTAAACATATCCCTCCTCCTATGAGTTCAAAATAGATAACACGTGATAACACTGTTTCTCTGAGAGAGTAGGTACCAGGCAAATGTAACATATTTTTACCACATTCATTGTTGCTAAAAAAAATATATATGGATTACATTTACAGCCCGTAGACACCTTGTTTGCAGGGTCAGTAAACAAAGTAGACCTTCTGTTCTCAGTATGTAATGTTTACTTTAAAAGCTAACCATTTGAACTCAATTTTATTTTTTTTTTCATATGAAGATTCTAAAATGACTGAAGTAAATGTGCTAGTAGTATAATCTTCAATTCTGAGAGAAATCAAAGCTGGGGGTGTGAGAATACAGATATCAAACTTTTGACAGCACCCTATTCAGCAGGAAGACCAGTATTTTTTTGAATTAGCTTTTCATCCCCTCAGTCAGTTGGTGTACTTGACCTGAGGCCTGAGGCTGGAAGATCCCAAGAAGCTCACATTTCTCAGACCAGGACGCTTTGGCTTATGACCTAAATCTGCTGTCTACTCTCCAGTAAAGAAACCCATCTCCATCTTCTTTGTTGCCAGAGAAACCACTAATAGTATAATTCCTTTATTTCAGATTATAATTTAATATATAAATATAGATAATATGAACTTTATTATATAAATAAATGAATTATTAAAAATGAACATATAAAAATGAATAAACAATATCATTAACAACATAAGTAATATAGCTGCTAGTTATTGAAAGCTACTCTCTGCTATTAAGCACTGCTAAGTGCTCTATGCTACTAAGATGATATAATTTGCATGCAACCTCTCTGTTGTGTTTCACACAAACCTGTGAGGTGGTATTTTTATACTCACTTTACCGAGGACCAAACTGAGATTCAGAAAAAATGGTCTTTATACTTTTTGCTTACATTACCTTCTTTTTTCAGCTTTCCAAAACTCCTGACAATTTCCTGAACAACAGCTGCTCCACTCTGAGGGTCAATGCCACCAAATACCCAAGAGTCACGGTGACCTCCAAGAATGACGTATCTGTCTAGAAAGCATCATTGCAAAATCACTTGCCATTCCAGGTCAAGAATAGAGGAAATTGCAAATGACTCAATAGCATCTAAACACAGAGCACTCAGGACTCAAGTTAAGATAGCAAAGGTTCCTGAAGACTTTTGTAAATGTATCACTTTGCTCTGAATTTGATGTATGAAGAAAATATGAATGTGATAAGCAAATGTATACTTCAATTAATTACAGTAATTATAAGTATATAAGTAATGATAAGTGAGTATAAAAGTATCCTTATCCACTTCTTTATATAATTCTGTTACTTCTCTCTTACCTATTTACACTATGCTTCCAGTATTTTCAGAGTAAGAGAACACAGTGGCCAAATAATGATTTCTCCACTTCCTAATCCTTCTACTTAGTTTTTAACATACAGCTCAAAGATTCTACCTCTCTATGATCTGTTTCTATTTTCTGCAGGGAGAGGGAATTGCACCCCTATCCAGCTTTCTGGGCAGTCTTTTCATATTGATAAAGCATTTACCATGGGGCTTCCCTGGTGGCACAGTGGTTAAGAATCTGCCTGCCAATGCAGGGGACACAGGTCCAAGCCCTGGTCCGGGAAGACCCCACATGCCACAGGGCAACTAAGCCCATGTGCCACAACTACTGAGCCTGTACTCTAGAGCCCGTGAGCCACAACTGCTGAGCCCAAGTGCCTAGAGCCTGTGCTCCACAACAAGAGAAGCCGCTGCAATGAGAAGCCCGCACACCACAACAAAGGGTAGCCCCCGCTCGCCTCAACTAGAGAAAAGCCTGCGTGCAAAAAAAAGTAAAAGTATTTTTTAAAAAAAGCATTTACCACACTTAAATGTAGGGGTCTTCTTGTCTCTGGTTTGTGTCTTTTTAAAAAATCCCTCCATCCCCAAAGCCTAGCACAGAGCTGGCACAAAATATGTACTCGGTGAGATTCAACAAATAGCCAGTGGTACATTGTTTAGTGCTCATTGGAAGCACATCAATATTCTTTATCCCTGAAAGAAGGTCCTGGCTGCTTGTACAAGAGATATTCAGTTTAATTCTGTCTGTTTGGGTAGGAAATATAACCACATAGTTCCTAAGGAATCAAACATAATAAAGTAAGATTATTTTCAAATGTATCATTGAGCAGGTTATCTGAAATCATATGGAAATCACGTGTCTATATATTCCACCCATTTCAGTGTAAAAAAAAAAACCATGTAAAGGATTCGTTAACTTCCGGTTATCTTAATTTTCTAAGAGTGTTACTTATCGTTGTAATGAAGATATTTCTCCAGGTAAAATATGCGGCAAGGAAATCCAGAAAGCTCAGATTAAACAACTGTAAACCATCTCTCCTTGATCTTCCTCTCTTGGTCCTTTAATTGAAGCATGCATAGTCTATCAACAACCTCAGTCATCTGACCAATCTAGTCCCAACATTTACTTTCTTCACAACATGCATCACAATGTAAAATTACCTCCTATTGATCTATTTTGTGTTTATGTGAGTTCCATTAGGACAAAGAGTTGTTTTGCTTTGTTCACCTTACATTCCCCAGAGCTCAGAGCAGTACCTGGCACCGAAAAATTGCCCGATCGATATTTGCTGAACAAATGATCAATTTACCTGGCTCCACTGCCCCTCTGAGAGTTCCAATCACATTGTAAATTCTTTTCACTTTATTGTTGGAATGGATGTGCATCTTGACTTTTCTAATGCAAAAATAAAGGACACAGACTAAAAATACTGGTTAACAGCTTGCCACCCACAATTTTTAAATCTGACATTGTTTTGAATATTTCTAAAGGCACACAGGCAATAATTGCATTGACCAATTGTCCAATTGTGAGGATATATGTGTATTCCCCTTTTCAACCTGTTGTTATGCCTCCTGCTGGTAGTAGATTTTACTTTTCAGTCATCCTCTGTAATTGCTTTTTGAAAAAGCTTTCCTCCCCCTAAAGAGAGTTATTATAAAAAGAGTCTCTTAACTTGGTAGAGAAGTTTCCAGTAAATCCAGGTCCAACATTGTAGGGCACGTGGAGGCTTCCTTTCCAGCTGTGATCTGGTGGTGCTGATGCACCCATTTTTCTGTTGAACACAAAAAATATTATTAGCTGAAGGAAACCTTTGAAGTTATAAGTTAAAATGTCCTTGAACTTGTTTTCTTGAGTGCCTGCTCATAATAGCTTCTATGAGTCATGGTAGTACAAAGTGCTTTGCATAGGGATATGCCATTTAACTCAATACACCTCTTATGAGGTGGTTCTGCTATTACTCCCCACTTCAAAGATAAGGAGGGTGAGGCTTAGAGAGATTAGGTAACATGCCCAAAGTCAAGCCACTGATTAGTGGTACAATCGAGATTCAAACACTTGGTAAGAATTTGGACTCTGTGTTACCAGTTTCCAACAGCAAATCATGTGAAAAGTGCTCTCAAGAACATGCTCTGAAGAAACAGCACGTGTCAAACTCTTTGGAATTTCCCATTATGTTATTTCTCCCACTGATAAATACATTCCCAAATACATGTATGGTCATCCTTTACAAAGTACTTTTGCACTCATCTATTAGGGAGGGAGGAAGGGCAAAGGAAGGGATGTCACTTCAACCAACAGCCCCTCAAAGCTTTATACACTATTTATTTTTTTAATTCAAAAGGGTGGAAAGATTCAGGTGGACCAGCCCATATATGCCACTAGCCGTGGTTATCTCTCACCAGGTGATTGAGAAAAATAATATGATAATATCTGTGGAATGGTGAGGTTCTTCCTGTTTCATTTCAGCATATCTTCCTTTACTGTTTAAGAGCATGGATTGACTTATTCTTGATTTGGGCATGGAAACCAAATGTACTTTTGCTACCTAGAAGCAGATAGAAGAAGATGGCTCCAGACAAACTTAAGAGAGTGAAAAACATCAGTCTGTCTTTTATGCCTCAATCTCTGGTCCACACACCTGCATGCACCCTATGATTTACAGTGAAACATTTTCTGTAGTTTCCTCCTTTTTTCTGTGCCTGCACACAGGTACTTATTCCCTGCCTACTAATTTGAGGTAATGTGAACAGCTCAACTTGACCTAGAATATATTATATGTGCAAAACTACATAAATATGATTATCTTCTCATGGAAAACTAAGTATAAATAATATTTTGTTTTAAAATGCTCTATCAGAGAGTAAATATTTACTCTTTTATTTTCCTATCTCATGAGGGAGTTTGTTTAATAAAGATAATTTCATGTAATATACTATATAATTTATTTATCTATATACAATAAAATTTCACATGAAAAGCATCAAGTAAAATGAAGGGGCATTATACATTGTTAAATATCATAATGAATAGTCAAAATAGCAGAGTATTATGTATACAAAAAATGGTAGAAGCCAAGTGAAGAATATACATATACTTGATTATACATAAAATATTTTTATAGTACTATATTGCAGACTTATAATATTGATTGCCTTTGGGATGGAAATGGGTAGGAGGGAAACTTTTTATTGTATACCCCTTTGAATTTTGAACTGTGTAAATGTATTTCCTTTTCAAAATAAAAATATGGAAAACAAGGTGCAAATTCATCAGGAAGTCAATTACATATTATAAGGAAGGTAATGAAGAGTCCATATTTCCAGAAAATAATAAAATATAAAGCCAAGATTACAGTGCCCCCACAAGGACAAGAAAATATCGCACATCTATGGAGAACAGAGGTTTTAGTCACTAAATTTCACTGGGATAATTAATCAGGGATATAATTTTCTTTAGGTCCTTTCACTCTATAAATAAAAAATAAATTCTGTGAAAATTAAAAGGTTGAATATTTAAATTTCAAATCATAGAAATTTCAGAAAATATAATATTGGAAATGTCTTTGAAAGGATTTGATAGATGCTCAATAAGTATCTATAAACAACACTGAATTTAAAAATCTATATTGTGTAGCATATTAAACTTTATTTGTCCATTTAGCAAAGATTTATTCTCTATAATGCTCAAGGTACTGTATTGTACTCACTAAGGAATACAAATATGTACAAGACATGGTCATTCTACCAAAGAGTTTATAAGCCAGAAAAAGATAGATATAAAGCAGAGCATGATATATGATAGATAAAGTTCTGAAGAACAAAACAGAGCTTGATTCCCCTTGCGGGATCAGAAATAATTTTCTTTCTACAGGAGGTTTCACTTATCTGGATTTTTAAAGAATGAGTAAGATGAGGGCAGGGAAGATGGAGGTAAAGAGCATTCCAGGTACAATGTATGATGTAAACAGGCACGAAGGCCAAAGAGTCAGAGCAAAAGTAAGGCATGGTGATTAATCTGGCTGGGGTATAAGATGATAAGGATGCCATAACAGAGAAGCTTGAAAAGTAGTGAGAATTTGCTTCTGAGAAGATGCACTTTACTCTATTCACCCTGATGAGTACAATTAAATTCCCTGGACTATAAATACATAAAAAAGAAACATAAGACTCTGAAAGGTGGAGAAAAGAAAAGAAACTAGCTCAGGACCTCAGGGTGCAAGAAATGACAAAGTGGTGAGTTCCTTGGGTTTTCATATGGGCTCTCATATCTCAGACATAGAGCTGAAGAAGCTGGCAAGCCAAAAAGGCCAAGTGGCTCATATGAAACATGTTACCCAACAAAAGCCTTGATAATACAGGAAAATAATACATACTTGAATAATACAGGATAATAATTACAGGATACAGGATAATAATACAGGAAATAATACAGGAAAATAATACAGGAAATAATACAGGAAAATAATACATACTTGAATACGTATAATAATAATACAATATAATACATATAATATAATATATAATATAATATATAATATTATATAATATATAATATATAATATAATATAATATATATTATATATAACATATAATAAATATAATATATAATATATATAATATATATTATATATAATATAATACAATAATAATAAGTATAAAAATAATACATACTTGAATACGTATACATATTCAAGTGCACCTAGGACAATTTTCAGGATAGACCATATATTAGGCTATAAAAAAACTCAATAAATTTAAAAGGCTGAAATCATATCATCTCTTTATTAATCATACAAACATTTTACTAACCCAACTATAGTATAAAGAATTTAGTAAGCAAGGATTCTTCAATATATGCAAATCAAGCAATATGATACACCATATTAACAAATTAAAGAATAAAAACCATATGATCTTCTCAATAGATGCAGAAAAACCTTTGGACAAAATTCAACACCGATTTATACTAAAAACTCGCCAGAAAGTAGGCATAGAGGGAAACTACCTCAACATAATAAAGGCCATATATGACAAACTCACAGCAAACATCATTCTCAATGGTAAAAAACTGAAAGCATTGCCTCTAAGATCAGGAACAAAATAAGGATGTCCACTCTCACCACTATTATTCAACATAGTTTTGGAAGTCCTAGCTATGGCAATCAGAGAAGAAAAAGAAATAAAAGGAATACAAATTGGAAAAGAAGAAGCAAAACTGTCACTGTTTGCAGACGACGTGATACTATACATAGAAAATCCTAAAGATGCCACCAGAAAACTACTAGAGCTCATCAATGAATTTGGTAAAGTTGCACAATACAAAATTAATGCACAGAAATCTCTTGCATTCCTATACACTAACAATGAAAGATCAGAAAGAGAAATTAAGGAAACAATCCCATTTACTATTGCATCAAAAATAATAAAATACTTAGGAATAAACCTAGCTAAGGAGGCAAACGACCGGTACTCAGAAAACTATAAAACACTGACGAAAGAAATCAAAGATGACACAAACAGATGAGAGATATACCATGTTCTTAGATTAGAAGAATAAATATTGTGAAAATGACTATACTACCCAAAGCAATCTACAGATTCATTGCAATCACTATCAAATTACCAATGGCATTTTTCAAAGAATTAGAACAAAAAATTTTACAGTTTGTATGAAAACACAAAAGACTCCGAATAGCCAAAGAAATCTTGAGAAAGAAAAACGGAGCTGGAGGAATCAGGTTCCCTGACTTCAGACTATACTACAAAGCTACAGTAATCAAGACGGTAAGGTACTAGCCCAAAAACAGAAATATAGATCAATGGAACAGGAAAGAAAGCCCAGAGATAAACCCATGTACTTATGGTCATCTAATCTATAACAAAGGAGGCAAGAATGCACTATGGAGAAAAGACACTCTCTTCAATAAGTGGTGCTGGGAAAACTGGACAGCCACATGTAAAAGAATGAAATTAGAACACTCCTTAACACCATACACAAAAATAAACTCAAAATGAATTAAAGACCTAAGTGTAAGACAGGACACTATAAAACTCTCAGGGGAAAACACAGGAAAAACATAAATCACAGCACCCACTTCCTAGAGTAATGAAAATAAAAACAAAAATAAACAAATGGGACCGAATTGCACTTAAAAGCTTTTGCACAGCAAAGGAAATCATAAACAAGACCAAAAGACAACCCTCAGAATCGGAGAAAATATTTGCAAATGAAGCAACTGACAAAGGATTAATCTCCAAAATATACAAACAGCTCACGCAGCTCAATTTCAAAAAAACAAACAACCCAATCCAAAAATGCACGGAAGACCTAAGTAGACATTTCTCCAAAGAAGATATACAGATTGCCAACAAACACATGAAAAGACTCTCAACATCACTAATCATTAGAGAAATGCAAATCAAAACTACAATGAGATATCACCTCACACTTGTCAGAATGGCCATCATCGAAAAGTCTACAAATGATAAATGCTGAAGAGGGTGTGGAGAAAAGGGAACCCTCTTGCACTGCTGGTGGGAATGTAAATTGATACAGCCACTATGGAGAACAGTATGGAGGTTCCTTAAAAAACTAAAATTAGAACTACCATATGACCCAGCAATCCCACTACTAGACACATACGCTGAGAAAACCATAATTCCAAAAAACACATACACCCCAATGTTTATTCTTTTTTTCTTTTCTTTTCTTTTTTTTTTTTGTGGTATGTGGGCCTCTCATTGTTGTGGCCTCTCCCGTTGTGGAGCACAG